GCTCTGTTTTGCTATGTCCATGTTTTTCTATTGTGGCAGCTTTGTAAACTACCTTGAAGTATATCATGACTTGGAAGAATAGAACAGAAACTAATACATGCTGATATGCTTGTTAGGATTGAATATCATTAATAACTGAATAAATTACCATTTATGCATATTTTAACAGTTTCAGATGCTAGTCTCACTTCTATTTGATAACTGCTGAATAAGGGAAGATTGTTAATAACTGCCCTTAATTGCTTTCTTTCTTTTCAGCATAACACTACTGTATGATTGCAAACAATAGATATCCTTTTCCAGATACAGAAGCTATAAAAATGTATTATAAATATAACAGAACTATCTGACTACTGTATTTTGGACCTATTCTACAAATGTCCATCCTTTACATCTGATTTTTTTTTAAATAAAGTGCCATATTCTTAACCCAGATAATTATGGTGACAGCTGTATTAATATTACTTGTTAGCTTTACATCCTATCTTTCTTCCAGAAGCTCAGGATGCTATATATGCATTCCTGTCTCCAATTTTCCCCCTTAAGAATCCAGAGAGATGACAACTGGCACAAACTTCCTTACAGGTGCAAGAAAAGATTTAGGCACCCCATAGCTAAATAGTGGTTTTGGGTGAATCGCCACATGAATGGAAGCTGACACAGCCTCTACATCAGGGCTGTCAAACTCCTGGCCTGTGGGCTGGATGCATCACATGCTGCCCATGCCCGGTTTAGCAAATGAGAAAAAAAAGTCCCAATACATCACGTAACGCTTCCGTTACGACGTGATTTGACACTCCTGCTCTACATGCTTACGCCTGCAAGAAAACCACCCAGGCATCAAGGATGTCCCAGTTCAAATCTTTGAGATACAAATATTCTCTTCTATCAGTACAACATGGTCTTGTAAGCAAATTCCTGAATAAATTGGCATCCTTCAGTCCAGAAGTGATATTCAGCAGGTTTTGAACAGTTCTGGAGAACCAATAGCAGAAATTTTGAGTAGTTTGGAGAACCGGCAAATACCACCTCTGACTGGAGATTTTACAGTCATCCTTCCCCTGCCACCCCTGCTTCAGTCTCAAAGACTATGGTATTGTGCTATGAAAAGAGGTCCTAAAACAGTATCTAGTGTGGCTAAAAAGGCCAATTTGAGAGTGGCAATCCCTTCCACATTGAGGACAGATACAGTCTGTCCCCTGTCCAGCCCCCAGATTTAGCTGGTTCCGGGAGTGCCTCTTTGCCTCAGCCTACCAAATGAGTGTCTCTTTGAATCGGAGAAGGCCATGCTGCGTCTTTAGCCTCCAAGCTGAATGATCAGAGGTCAAGTTTTCCCAGCTATTAACGTCCATTCCCTAGGCCTTTAGACCCTCTTGCAGATGTCCTTATATCGCAGCTGTGGTCTCCCTCTAGGGTGCTCTCCCTGCACTTATTCTCCATACAGGAGGCCTTTCAGAATCCGACCATCAGCCATCCTCACGACATGCCCAAGCCAGCGTAGGCATCACTGTTTCAATAGTATATACATGCTAGAAATTCTAGCATGTTCCAAGACTGCGCTATTTGGAACTTTGTCATGCCAGTTGATGCTAAGAATACATCGGAGACAGTGCATATGAAAGGTGTTCAACTTTCTCTCCTGCCATGCATAAAGGGTCCAAGACTCACTGCAGTTCATTAATACATACCTGATAAATCTGCCAGCTTTTTACAGACTCAAAGTAAATAAACTTAATATGGGATAAGTTTTAACACTTTTTTTTCAATTAGTAATTTGTTAATTCCACTTTTCACAGAAATAATAGCTTCCCAGCATTTCCTCTAAGCAGTTAAGAATCTTTCCATTCCTGCTTTTGAAAATTTTCTTCACTTTCTTGCATAACTCTTCTAGTTCACAAATATTCTCAGACCTGTGTGTGTTTGGTATGTTTGAGATCTCCTCATAAATTGTTGATGTTTAATTATGAAAACTATTAAAGTTATTGCAGAACATTTAGCTAATTTTCCTGTGCATGCTTCATGATTAATTTGGAGGTAGTTTAGATTGCCTTGCTAAGATAGGTGGCCTTGTTTCAGTTTCTTTACTGACATTAATTTCTAGATATATTGATATATAGTTGAAACCATTCTTCATTCCACCTGTACAATATAGTATATGCCACTGATTGCCATCTAACCCCAACATATAAGACACCTCTGTGCTTCAAGGTGTCCATTTCTTCAGATGCTTCACTCCCTTTTCTTCAAATGCATCTTGTGTGATTGTCACCATTCAATATTTGTTGCAAAATGTTTCAGGCTTATTGAAGTTTTCTTGTTGATACTTTGAACAATGGTTTAGGGGTGAGTTCAGAGAAAAGTTTTCCTTACAGTAACTCTTCCATGGAGATCATTGCTGTACAAGGGAAGCTCTGATGTTGATAACTCCTCTATTAAATGTTTCATTTCAGGGATCTGGAATTCTGTTTTGTAGATCTGACCAATCTGGAGGAAGTTTGAAGAGGTGTTCCTTGCATTTCCATTTCTTGCTATTCCTTTAAAGCAGGGGTAGTCAACCTTTTTATACCTGGAGAGCTCTTGATCCTTTTGCCAATTGATGGATTAGTGGTGTTTTTGCCTTTTTCTTGATAAAGGAAGAATGTACAGACATTCAGCATTTATAGTATTTTTCAAATAGAAAAAGTGCAGAAAACAGCAACCAGGATGATTAGGGGACTGGAGGCTAAAACATACAATGAACATTTGCAGGAACTGGGCATGGCTAGTCTAGTGAAGAGGACCAGGAAAGACATGATAGCAGTGTTCTAATATTTGAGGGGCTGCCACAGAGAGGAAGGGGTCAAGTTATTTTCCAAAGCGCCTGTAGGCCAGACAAGGAATAATGGATGGAAACTGATCAAGGAGAGATCTAACCTGGAAATAAGGAGAAACTTTCTGTCAGTGAGAACAATCAACCCATGGAACAGCTTGGCCTCGGAAGTTGTGCGAGCATCATCACTTGAAACTTTCAAGAGATTGGACTGCCATTTGTCAGAAATGGTGTAGGGTCTCCTGCTTGGGCGGGGGGTTGGACTAGATGACCTACAAGGTCCCTTCCAACTCTGTTAATCTGTTAAATCATCATTCTCTTTCTCAGGCTCTTGAAGCCTATTTACATTAAGTATGTTTTCAAATGTTCAAAAATATGTGTTTTAACTTTTTGTCTATGGAGATTCTCAATCAATAGGTCATGGTTGTCCCAAAGGTGCTTTCCCCAAAAATAAAAACCTTTGTTTTCTTTTCTTTGAAAATATTTTGCTTCTCATGCAAGAAGCTTCTCCATTTAGCTTGTTTTGGTTTAGCTTCAGTTTTCTACAGATTTTATCTGTGTTCTCCACCTAGTGGTTAATTGAAAGATACAATTTGACCAGGTGCTTTAACTTTTGCATGGAACAGCAGTTGATAAAGAGTACTGCATCACCCTGCCCTATTCCAGTATTTTAACCATTATACTACACTGGTTTTATTGTGAGTTTTCCTTGAGATGATGCCACAAATACATAAATTTTAAAGGGACTTTCACTAATCTGGGGCTTTGCTTGCTGGGAATGTCTTCTAATGTTCTAGGACCAACTCTCTTCATACTCTACATAAATGACCTCTGTGATCATATTAAGAGCAACTGGGTTCTCTTCGCTGATGATGTAAAGCTGTTCAATACCACAGACAATACTGCTACCCTTCAAAAAGATCTTGACTATGTATCAGAACGGTCAAACAAATGGCAACTTCAAATCTCAACAAATAAATGCTCTGTCTTACATATTGGCAAAAAAAATCAGAAAATAAAATACAGCCTGAATAGTCAAGACCTTGTTGATGATCCAAGCTCTGTAAAGGACCTGGGAATACTCACCTCTAATGATCTAAGTGCTAGAGCCCACTGCAACTACATAGCCAAAAAGGCATTAAGAGTTGTTAACCTAATCTTACGTAGCTTTTTCTCTGGTAATATCACACTACTAACTAGATAATACAAAACATTTGCTAGACCAATACTCGAATACAGCTCATCAGTCTGGAACCCACATTACGTATCTGATATTAGCACAGTTGAGAAAGTCCAGAAATATTTCACAAGAAGAGTTCTCCACTCCTCTACTCGTTCCAGAATTCCTTATGCCACCAGACTTGAAATTCTAGACGTAGAAAACCTTGAATTATGCCTTCTTCGGTCTGATCTAAGTATGGTATATAAAATCATACATTGCAATGACTTACCTGTCAATGAATACTTCAGCTTCAACCATAACAAGAGCACACAATAGATACAAACTCAAGGTTAACCGCACCAAAATTGATTGCAGGAAATACGACTTCAGCAACAGTGTTCAATGTCTGGAATACTCTACCTGACTGTGTGATTTCTTCCCCAAACCCCAAAAACTTTAACCTTAGACTGCCTACTATTGACCTCACCCCTTTCCTAAGAGGTCTGTAGGGGTGTGTGCATGAGCACACCAACGTGCCTACCGTCCCTGTCCTATTGTTTCTTTTATTTTTCTTATATGTACCCATTTCATGTATTCATAACTATGTATATACTTATACCTATTATCTTGTAAGCGACTGACAAATCAAATAAATAAAATAAATAAATAAACATATCTAAAGGCACCAGGCTGAGGGAAAGCTGTTTTCATTAATGAAACAATTAGTATCACGTGTAGTTTGCCCTTAGTTTTTAACTTTAACTATAGGATGTGAGAAAACTGACTTGACGCTTGGCAACACTGAAGACATATATTTAAAAAATAACTTTATGAATGTTAAACTTTGATACACGTAAAGTAACTGCTGAGAAATTCAAAGCCAACATAAACAGAACTGTTTGTAACATGATGCATGATGAAAAACTGTAGTAACGTCTCCCATGCTAATGCTTCTTTTTCCTTTTTTAAGGAAAGCGGGGAAATGTTAAACAGCAGCTATATTTCTGCACTTAATGCAAACATGTTCAGTTACAAATCATCATCAAATGTCTCCGTGCATCGCAACATTACAGTCTCGTAGTCTAACTGAAGAATTTCTTCCTGCCAAAAATAAAGATAGGGAGAAGAAGAATTAATGTTCTGTTAGGAGCGGGACTATTTTGGGTAATAGAGTTAATGAATAAACATTCATTAAACATTCGCTATAGCAAGTTTAAATGATCTAATTTTTTGGCAGCCAGATTCTCAAATATACTAAGCTTATTTGTGTTTTTACATAAATGCAGCATGACATTGTGACAGATGCTAATCAGTGTCTGCTGATTTATGGATGTGAATGCTATCCTTTCAGCTGGTTTCCTTACCAAGAGGGCTGGCTATCTCATAGCTCAATAATACAACAAGTCAAGTCTACTAAATTTAAATCAAGATGTAGAAAAAAATTGCACAATAATAATGTGATTAAAAAATTATCCAAATACTACTTTGAAACAACAAAATCCCAGTCTAACTCTGTACCTCACGTTAGACAGTGGCTCTAATCCAAAAGTGCATTTTTTTAAAAAGGTGAAAATCAAAGAATGTACTATTAAATAGGTAAGCTTTTTGTTTAGTTTAAAAAAAGCAACTTCTCCCAATGGCAGAAGTTTTGATTTGCTGGACAGAAAGCAAACACACAAACAGTCAAACTTACAGAGAACTGATTCTCTTAGGCACTTTCTTTTGAATATGGCTCTTGGTATCTGATGTAATTTCTGCTTTTTTTTTTTTTTTTGCTAATTGCAGTGTTCAGATTTCTAGAACTCTGTTAATGGGAAACTCATTTATTAGCATTCTAAAAATATTTAAAAAGAATTTAGAGAAGATACTTAAGGCTGATTATATGATCAGCTTGTGGGATTAATGGTGAAACATATACATAAACACCCTTTTATTGCCATCCATCAAGCTTAGATTAACTAATTTATTTTATCACAACGGTGTCAAATTCAGAAGGAACAGATGAGGAGTAAGATAAGGTAAGTTGCAAATTATGTGTGTAAAATAAAGTATGATATATCTGCTCCTCTCAAACGAACTATTGATTTTGATTCAATATACAGAAACATCTACATTTCACTGATATCAAGAAAAACTTGTAGGTAATTAATTTTGGTTAAGGTTCATAAACTATAAATTATATGGCAACCTATACATAAACTGCACTGGGCTAGAGATAGTAAGAATTAGAATGGGAAGCACTTGCAGCTCATTGGCTGGAGGTTTCCTGCATTGGGAATTTATAAGTTGATTTTAAAAACCATTCTCCTAAGCAATTCCACTTGCTCAGGTGCTGTTCTTCTCTTTAAATTCATGTTTCTATACTAGGATATGGAAGGAATTTTAATTGTTTTTCCATAATGCAGATGTTATTTCCTAGAAACTAACTGGAAATTGAGGAGCTGCAATGCCAGCATATCAGGATATATCCGTTTGTGGGATGCCACCATAATAAAATTGCTCAACAGTCTCACCTTCTTTTACAAGCAGATTATATAAAATTATATTGATATCCATCATTTATTCCACCTAAACCATTATGGACATTATTTTAACATGCATACTTACAGTATGAGCGTTTTCACAACACCCACATTGTCATTCCTCATAAATCAGTTTGAAACTAAGCACAAGTAACTTCCAATCTTTCAGGCTTGAAACACTGAGAATCTCACAAGCCAATTAGTGCTTACCCTACATCTAACAAAAAGAGACTTTAAAGAACATTTTTATCTACTATCAAAACTTCATCAAACAGAATAGGTGGTTATTTTGTAATCCACCCTGTTTTGAAATCTACCTACATAATTCTTATGGGAAGGTAGAAATTAGGTAACATTTGATAGCAATCAGATACAGACAGAAGAAAAGCTATGTATTTAGACTAAATTAATTTGCTTAGAAATAACACTGATTAATTTTTTAGGTAAAAGAGACAAGAAATGAAATAATATTGCTATAACATTTGTTTTTTTATAAATAAAAAAATTGTGTTTACTTTGTGTTCCTACACTCTTCATTTATTGCTAATAATTGCTCATCGCTGCTCTATGTGAAGCTGCCTTTGAAGACTACCCAACAGTCATAAATGATCCAGAATGCAGCACCATGGGAAGATATAAGTTGCGCGATTTCCAATAAGTTTTGGTTGCAGTTCATAGTGCCTGATTATTTATATGAAGCCTTTTTAGGACACAGGCTTGGGTAATTTGTGGGATGTCTGTTTCCAAAAAATATCTACCCATTCCACACACTTGAATAAACACATACAGTAGGGGTGTCAAACTCAAGGTGAGTGGGTCCGCCCTGGAAACAGTGAAGGACCAGCCCACAGTGCCTCTGCCAGCAAAAACGGAGCTCGGGTGGGCCATGTGTGGGCCTCCTAGGCTCCATTTTCACTGGGAGAGGGCTGCAGGAGGCTGTCGTGGCCGAAAATGAAGCCTCGATGAGTGACACAGAGCTGGCCATGCCCACCCTGGCCATGCCCCCAGCCCACCGAGGTTAAACACAACTCCGATTCAGCCCTCAATGAAATAGAGTCTGACACCCCTGACATACAGGGTCCCTTCCTTAAATAATGTCATCTTAGGAGTCCCAGTATGTCAAGAAGCCCATAAGACCTAATCAAATGGCCACATATTTAGGCATCAAATGCCAATTGCTGTAAACCACACCATTGCATTTCTACTTTTTTTCCCCTTACTCTTGTGTAACCTTCATTTATACAATGTTGCTTTCCTTCATTCTTTGTGGTTTTCCCATGAACAGTGTGCCTTAAAAGATCAGGGGATTGAGTATTTTATTAATGAAATACATATTTAACATGATCTTCAATAACTTCAAGCAAATTTCAACTTTTTATGCTACTTATGGAGCTTAAGGAAATCCCCTTTCCCCTCAAATGCTCAATTTAATTATGCTACAGTTCTCCAGAGATTTAAGAAGGGTCTCAATTTACAACTCAAGGAATGACTGAGAAAAAAATAAATGTCACTGTAGATGGTGGCAGAACTTGGCTGATGTTTTTTAGGTTTGGAAGATAGGCAGGTTTGATGGGGGTTAGTACTTGGGTGAGCGATCACCAGGAAATTTCAAGGTTGTAGGCTAAAGTGAAGAGGAAAATCCCAGAAAGTGATAGTAAATCATTTAATTACTACTGCCAAGAAAACTAGCTATAGCCACATACATGTAATTATCAAACCTAATCCTAACTCAAGGGCAGTTTCAGTTGAAAATTGTTACATGAGTAGCTGAGAAATGACATAAGTATGGGACTCTGAAAGTAGATTGAAAGCGATTTATCATCACTGTGCATTAGTCCCTTTCAACTTTTCCCAACTGCTTCAATGTCTTTTTGACCGAGTTTGTACTTCTTCCACAACATAAGAAACGATCCTAACAAAGCTTGTTTCAAGCACACTGCAAAATCCTACCTGTGATGGTTGTGTGCTAGCAAAAAACAGATTTTTCAAGAAGCTGATGATCTGCAAGTAGATACGATGGTTATCCTCTTGGCTATCTGAACCACAGACTGTGAATGCTGAGCTGCAAACAAAATAATCTATACTGAGGCCTCCTATCAATTGTGTGGAAGAGAAAGCAAGCCTTTACCTTAAGAAAGTGCATATAAAGGCCTGTATTACAGGTTTGACTGAAAGGAAATTCACATAATTGTCCAGCTTTGCTTTGCAGTGCCAATACTAATGGAAAACCATGACTCCTAAAATTAGGCTGCTCCCAAAGTGTTCCTTTGTAGTGCCACCTGAGCAGGTCTGCATCACTGCCCCTTTCAGCCTGCCATGCCAGAGTTCACAATTAATGGCAGACAAAAGCCAGTGTGTCAACATGTTGCTGGCTCAGTAGGGTTTTTTTGGTCTCTTCATAAGGATAATCAAATGTGTAACTTCTATATGTTGTCAGCTGATCATCAACCTCTGACACACTCCAATGACTTTTGGGGGATGTCGGCAACTGGTCAAGCAATTTGTCCATTAAAAGAAATAAAACAATGGCTGTGGGACCTGGAGGATTAATTACCTTCATAGCAAAAAGAGGGCTGAGGGGCAGAGAGGGCATGGTCCCACGGGAAATAGCAATATCACTAGCAATAGCACTTAGACTTATATTGCACTTCAAAGTGCTTTGTAGCCCTCTCTAAGCAGTTTACAGAGTCGTCATATTGCTCCCAACAATCTGGGTCCTCATTTTACTGACCTTGGAAGGTTGGAAGGTTGAGTCAACCTTGAGCTGGTCAGGATTGAACCCCTAGCAGTGGGCAGAATCAGCCTGCAATACTGCATTCTAAAGGAAACTTGTGGGACCAGCTGGAACATGTAATTTTAAGCTGCCTTCCCCATGAGCATTCATGTGCCATATATTGTCTGCATGTGGAGTCTTGAGGCAGAATATTACACGGCATAACTTCTAGAACACCAGAAAACCTCTTTCAGCTCACCCAGCTATAGGCTGCCTTGAAATACAGGCAAAGGTATAAGAACATGTGGACCGAGACCAGGAAGTGCTTGTGGCAGGATCAGGAGACTATGTGGATATGGCCTTATAATCTTCTCAGTGCGATATCTTTTAGAAACATTGACCAAGGCAATGAATAGCCCAGACATATAGGAACAAATAACTATTCTGATCTAGTCGAATATTCCAAATCTTCTTCCCTTTAGTGCATCTTTTTCCACTGTAGTTCTTCCTGGCATCTCTATCCCAGTAATGCATATTTCTCAAATCAGAGCCCCTTGTATACACTGCAAGATCCTCAACTTGGATGGCATGTCTATAGCACTGAACCTTTACACACCAAACATAGTAGTACTGGTGATCATGGGTTATCTGTCAGTTTGGTCTCACAAGAAACATCTATTCTTGTACTTGAACAATGACATTTAAGAGAAAGTCAGTGAACACTTACAGTATTTTGCAAAAGGCTGCCCCTGTTTTTTAGTTAATCACACTATTTCCAAACTGGTTCTATTAAATTATAACTTTCACATTATCCCTGTTCTATAAAAACACATCTCCTAGATTATGTGCTATTCTCTCACTTATGGTCACTTGATTAGACAGTGTTGAATTTCAACCTGATAAGTAAACAGGCAAATTCTTTAGACACTTATTATTGTATTATTGTTCCTGAAGATTAACTTATTACTGTTCTTTCTCTTTTAGTCTGCCTTATATTACAACATAGCAATTTATCTAGTTAAAACCATTACCTTTGACTGGATATTTCTTGTGTTTCATTTCTATCAAGAAAACTAGTGGCCACATCAAAAGCATCTTCAAAGAGGATCTAAAAGAGAAAGCATTCTGGACATTACATCCAAAAGCATCATACAAGAAAACTCTTTTTAAATTCTTGCTGTTGACTAGCATTTATTCGAATGATTTCTAAATTAGTAAGGAGTGCAGCGCTTGGTTATTCTATTTTATTTATTTATTTATTTGATTTGTCAATCGCTTACAAGATAATAAGTATAAGTATATACATAGTTATGAATACATGAAATGGATACATATAAGAAAAATAAAAGAAACAATGGGACAGGGATGGTACGCACGTTCTAAGATGAAACTGTTTGGTACGCATAATTGTTATGCACTATTTTTTCAGCAAAGTTTTAAAAACAGTTAATAACTTTTACCCAAGAACATTTATTTTATGGTTTATAGTTTAGGATAATTTCTAATTATTAAGGAGGTTATAGTTTATTAATCTCTATTTTATGTTCTCAATGAGCTTGGTTGTAATTAAGATTGCTCAAGAAGAATCCAACAGTGTAAAGGAATAACTAAATTACTCTCAGCCTCCTTATTAGATATTCTTTTTCTGAAACTGATGTTTATAGTGACACCCCAACATGTGCTGCTTTGCTAACAAGTGTAACAGGAAAAGACACTGTCAAAACATTTTAGGGCATAAGACATTATGACAGGAATTAGTTTCTCTGGAACCTATTTAATTAAAAATAATAATATCCTTCCCCAATGCCTATTATCTCCCATGGATTTAGTGGAGAAACCCACATAAATACTAGTTGATAAATGGGGCTTTGTAGTTTTTCCACCTAATCTACCAATCACATATTTCATCTGGTTCCTAACCATATGCTTTAATTATCACCAAACTGAGCTAACTGGTGAATAAAGCAATGACGTGGCATAAGCTTACGTTCTGAAAAGACCAAATGTGGTTGTGCTGTAATTAAGATTATTATATGATATAGGTTGCTTTGGTTACAATTTTATTTACTCTAGAGAAATCTTTTTTTTTTAAATTGGAGCTGTTTTTTGAACCATTTCTGAGAGTTATTGTCAAGATCTATACTTATTGCTAATTTAGCCATAGTATTTCCTGGTGTTTTAGAAATGATTATACCGTCCTCCCTTTTATTACTGAAGAAATAGAGACTCAGCAATTTTAAATGTTAGAACAATACATTTAACTAACTGTTCAACTACAATCATAGAAGACACCAATTCTCACCTCCTCCGGTGTGGACACTACTGAACCGCTGGCTTCCTGACTATTGGTTCCACTGTCCCTCACACTGCTCTCATCAGTACAGGCAGGTTCTTGAGACGCTGTCTTGATCTCAGAGATGAAATTCTGTCTTTGACTACAGTAGTGCAAAACACTGTCCTTCCTGTCTTCTGGGAGACCCTGCCACAGATGGGAAACAGCTGTGGAGACCACAGGGAGCATAACTTCTTCTGGGCTTACAACTGCATTATCAACCAACAAGTCTACAGTCTGCTTGTAAAAATACAAGTATCTGGAATGAAACAGGAAAGGAGACATCTCTCACAATATCGTCTGGATGGCATCTAACAGGCATAGAGCAATAAGTTGACTACACTTTGGGCATCACTGAATTGAAATGGATGGGAATCGGGCACATTCAGTCAGAAGATCATACCGTTTATTGCTCAGACAATGAAAAATGAAGAAAGGGTGCCACTGTTTTTTTGTCATGAAGAATGTACAAAGACAGCACTTTGGTACAATGCAGTTAAATAGATTTCATGAACAACTCTTTAATATGAAGATTATTCAGTTTTTGGCCCTAACTACTGATGCAGAAGAAGTTGACAAATTTTATGGTCAAATTCAATCTGAAATTGACAGAACACACATACATGATATGTTGCTTATGATTGAAAAGTGGAATTCTAAAGCTGGACACAGTAAGGACGACATTTAGTTGGATTATATGGCCTAGGGAACACCACCAGATCAAACATTTGACCATATTATTGGCACAAGCAGATGGAAAAGTTCAGTTACAGCAGCAAAGATGTGGTCCGGGGCTCTTTACTCATGTGCAAATTCCAAGAAAGGGTTAAACCAGTTTCCACAATATGATATGGAACACTATATATCCACCATTTTCAAGAAAAACTTTGAAGTCCTGAACTTTATTGATGGGAGCCAGTGGCACTGTGGAATGAAATCAAATAAGTTGTTAACAAAAAGTATGAAAAGAGATTGTCTATGATCAAGAAATAGAAGAAACTGAACTGGATGTTTGAAACAGACAGTAGAAATTTTTTGAAAAGAGAAGACAAAAACCAAGAAAGACAAAATTTTCTGGAAGGCTCTAATTAAAAATTTACATGGCCTAGCGAAGGAATAGTATTATAATATCTATAAAGACATCTAAGATGGAAACAGACATGGAAAACTAAAGAAAGTCTTCCAAAAGATTTATTAAACTAGAAAGAGGATCTAACATCTAATTGATTTGGTACTGATGTCAACAGACAGATTCAAAGAAATCAAACATATAAGGAAGGAGTACATTGAAATTCTGTACAGTACAGATGTCAACATCCAAGACATCCAAGATATTGATACTTACTAGAATACCAAGTTAAATCAACACTCTAATTATTATCAAATTGGAAAGCTGTAAGAATTGATGGAATATCTTCAAATATATAGCAAGCAATTAAGATGAATCAGTAAAAGTTCTAATTGAATTATGCTAGAAAATGTGGAGAACACAATGGCCAACCAGTAGGAAGATGTCAGGCTACATACCAGTACCAAAGAAAAGATCCTTAAGAGACTGTAAAACTGCCACACAATAAATTGACATGCAAGCAAAATAATGCTTAGGATCATCCAACACAAATTAGACTCTTATTCAGCTGTTCAAATTGGTTTTAGAAGAGGGCAATATTATTGCAGATGTATTTTGGAAAAATGAGAACAATAAAAAAAAATACCACCCAAATGTCAGTGTACCATTCATTGACTATAGAAGACTTTTAATATTGTCAACCATATCAACCTGTTAAATATCTTTAGAAAACAGGATTAACAGAACATCTCACTATCCTCATGCAAAATTTATGCACAAATATGACGCCACAGAATATGATGAAACAGACTGGCTCTAATTGGCAAAAGAATAAGGTAAGATAAGGCTATACTGTATATTATCTCCTTATCTGAAAATATAATGAGAGAAGCTGCATTAGAAAATGAGTGCAGTTTTAAAACTGAAGAAATAACCTGCTCTATATTGAAGAGACTGCTCTGATATTTATTAAATTTATATGCCGCCTATTTCACTGTTGCAACGATTCTGGATGACTTACATAATGAAAAAAAATACAAAATGAATATGCCTATATGTTGATTAATAATGAATTATCTTCAATGTTTCAATTCAAAATACCAGAAGTCACAAATACTAAAGGCCTGACAAGGAAGATCGCTACTTTAGCTGCACTGCTAAAATAATTGCAAGGACACAGAGCTTAATGGTTTGACTACAGAAAATAAAGTGTAATAGAACAAAACTGATGAGAATTATCAAATAATTTGGAAAAATAATTTTCTATCTAGAGTGCCTGACAAGGCAATATCTGCAGAAAATTGTTACTCAATAATTGCATCCTTAATTAAACCACTTAATATTCTATGTCAACATTATCTGTTGCTAATGTTCTGCAGCAAAGGAATAAAAGGACAAGAAAATGGTAGTGTCTGCTTTTATCATTATCAACATTCAAGAGGTCGCTTTCTAAAACATTTCATGGAAGGAGAAAATCAAGATAACTCTTGCTGTAAATGGAGTTCCTGTTTTAAACATAAAGTTTTTACTGCCATTTCTTATATTTGCTGTTCATGGAAACAACCAGCTTGCCACATAAAATCAAACTCAAAATATTAAACACACATACCTTGCAACCATGATTTATACAGAATAAAATGTAATTATGAGACCTCACAAAATGAATATATCCAAAATAAAATCCAGAACAACTTCCAGCATGTATTTATTTATTCTTCATAAAATTCTAAAGTATTTCAAGTTGATAGCTGAAAATGTAAATGATCTCAACATTTAGTAATGATGATAAAGGAGCACAGGACAACAATGGGGATAATAATTATTTATTACATTTATATGCCACTAGACTCCCAGCAGCTTTGGAGGGGTATTCAAATGAAACATTAAAAACAAGAAAAAGACACAAGAGATAAAAATGAAAGTTAAAATGGTAAATGTGACAAGAACCAGACAGGAACAAAAAAGAAACAAATCCACATAATCTAACAGAGCGTCATTCATCCTTGCTAAGGGCCTGGATGAAGAGTTGCGTCTTCAAGGCCCTTTGAAACATCAACAGGGTGTGGCCTGTTTGGATCTTGAGAGGAATCACATCCCAGAAGGCAGGTACTGATATGGAGAAGCCATGCTTCTGACTATCAACAGATGGTCTTGTTTAATCAAACATGCCAAACAGAGCATGCCAACCAAGCCAGATCAAATCAACTGGGCAGACATTATGGGTAGCAGACACTCCCTCAAGTTATCAGACCTTATGGTAGGTAGGGTTTTATAGATAGGGACCAGCACAATTAATCACAGACAAAAGTAAAATGGCAACCAGTGCAGCACACAAAGCAGATGTGTTGTATGGGATACCAAGGTATGACTACCACTGCCTGCACCACTGCATTCTGGACCAACTGAAACTTTTGAGTGGTCTTTAAGGACATCCCTATGTAGAATATATTGCAGTTAAATTGTGGGATTGGATGATTGTCAGAAGAGGCTCTAATCTAGGAAAAGGCCAACAGGAGCTGTGAGTTCAGGAATATCCCCAAATTGCTTACCATTTATCAGTTCTCTCAGGAAAACCAGAAACACGTAGGCTAATTCTGCTTTATTGTTAAAGGCTACACTAACAGAATCTTGCAAATCTGAAAGTACAAATCTCCCACAATCATTTTGCAATCTGATCACTTAAGAGTTGGTCCTTCTTGTTTCTTTCTCTAATTAACTAGTTACTAAGGGGTTTTTCGCTCTCGTGTCTGTTCCCTAGAAGGCATCTCTTTTCCCTGCCTGTCACAGACAGTTACATCTAATCCAGCCAAGGTCACAGACAGAATATTCAAGATCTGGGCTGCTCAAAGAAACACACGCCCCTCAGCCATTCAGTCTTTGTAGACCTGACTTAGAGATGGTTCTTCCCCATCCAAAGACAAACAGTCTCCAGGCACTGGGGTGAAACCTTGAAATTCTCACTTGGCCAGCCCAAAAGCAAAAGATAATAGACTAAGATTAAATACAAAAAAAAATGACCAAACTAATGACAACAGGCAGAGTTACCAACATTAGAACTAACAATAAAATTGAAGTGGTGGATAGCTTCTGTTTTTTGGGATTGACTACTAACAGTAAAACAACTAGAAATATATTACAAAGTGGCACCTCACAAGGCAACAATGAAAGTCTGGAAAAGATATTCAGAGGCCTGATCATCAGCTCCTTCTTCCCCAATGTCTACACTTACTGTGACCTATAAAAATTAGAATTGTAGTGTCAATAGTTTTACTTGTGACACTCTATGGACGCCAAATTTGTACTGACACAGAATAAAAGTATTAGTGCTTTTGATATTGGAGAAAACTCAAAAATACCGTGGATAGCTGAGGGAAAAATAAATGCATCATAGTACAAACAAATTGAAGATAAGATCTTTGAGTTAATGGACGTTTACCAAATGAGGAAGGAATTCCTTTTATATGATTCTGTCACGATTCTTAGTTTGCTTTCTGCTATATTAAACAAATTATGATTTGTAGGATGGCATTTGGGTTTATTTAAGTGTAACCTAAAAAAAAACAGGAATTAATTTCTTACATTAATTAGGAGACTAACTATGGAATTAGAAAATAAATACAAGCAAATTCACTAAAAATTTGAAGAATATGAATAATTTGCATTATAAAAACGGTGATCATAATTGCTTTGAAAGTATCACTGTAAAAGGGAAGGAATGAGACAAGAAATCACAAAATAATTTTATAGGTCATGGATTAAGAAACAAATCCTTGTACTGATTTTTGCCATCTCTGAAAAAATAGATAGGTTAATTAAGAAATGCTTCAAGTTGTGTAACTGAAACATGTTTGCACCACCTGCTGGTCATATTCCATAGTTATTCTGTCCCCACTTTATCTCTCAGAAAAAAAGTGGCTTGCCGTAAAACATATTATGCCATGTAATAGGTATACAAGGTCCTACTATGTGATAGGCACATTTAAGAACAACAGAAACAGAACATACATTTTTCAGAAGCAGTTCAGGTTAAGTAGTGGTTTGCAATTTGTATCAATAAGCATTTCCAGCTTATTTGACCTTTTGTTACATCTTTTTTCTTTTATTTCTGCATCTTTGTCTCTGCTTTTTTCTTCCCTCATTTTTTTTTCTCTTTTTCCCTTCAATATTGGTTCTTGTTTGTTTTTATTCTAAATTAAAGCTTTTAATAAAACTTATAAAAAAAGAAAGCAAATGTCACTTTGTTGACTAGGATTCTTGAATAACATGACATAAACGAATCTTTTCACTGAGCTATACTATAACATAAATGTAACATACTTACTTTCTTCTATCCTGCAGTTACTAAAAACTATTAAATGTCTTCATTCATTCAATATAGACTAACTCAAGAAATTTAACCCTATATAACGTTATTTGTTGAATCAGTTCAAAAGGAGAAATATCTTATTTCTTCATGTACCGTTCAAACTCCATGAGATCAGGAGAAGAGGTAGCTGGTGACTGTGTTAGCCTTTGACTTACATCTTCTTCTACAATTGGTTTCTCATGTTCTTGAATCACGTACCAGACTGTGGTGCCATTTTGACTCAAAACATCTGAAGAATGTATGATGCTACAAAATAAATGGAGGGGTTACATAAGTCCATTTTTTTGTCATAAACATGTGTTGAAAAGTCAGCAAATTTTGTTTAGCGTTAATTATTTTTCAAGAAATATACTGGGCTACAGAAACCACATGGGGAAACAATATAAACAATGAGAATAAAGAGAAACAAGCATAAAAAAGTGGGACTGAGATTCATCATGTTAAAAATCCCACTTTCAAAATCTCTATTTCACTCTAATTTTCCTTCTTCTTGTTTCTGCAACTCAGTAAAGACTGTAAGTCCATGCAAATTTCATAGGATAGAAATGTAATTATTTTCTGAAGCTCACAGGCTTATTTGAGATATTTAAAAGGGATGCTTTCAGAAAGTTTAAATTTTGTAACCTATGATTGTTGAAATACATCTTGACATATTCCTCCTTTACATCTTCCAAACTGGACGGATTGCCATCTTCCAGATTTAAAACTTCTGTTGGCAACAGAAAGAACATCTGTTACTAATAGGCATATTCTGAAATTTGAATATAATGAAATGCATTTGAAGAAAGTATTGTAGGAAAATATTTTTTTTAAAAAAGACCTATTATCTTTATTATTGGTTGTTTGTACTTTTATCACTACTAGTATTAATATTGTGTTGCTGCCCAAACAATATACATGAAGTATGTCACTAAAATAATCCAAACTTATAATTTCAACCGATATAACAAACAGATAATACAGTATAATGGCAACAAATATTATATAAGCAACAAGCAGAAAGTTCTATGGGTAATGACCTAGCCTATATTTTGGGAGGGGCTATAGCTCATTGATGGAACACAGATGTTCTCTGAAGAAGTGACAGTTTCTCATATTTTCAGCTAAGGCCGCCTGATAATAGGTTATGCAAAAGCCAATCACAGCATGTGATGCTTGAATAGATAAATAAATCACTCATAAATAGCAGCTTGAAGAACTAAAAAAATAGGCTGGAAAATGATGACACGAGCAATGAATTGAATGTCATAATGGAAAAAGAAAGTGAATAGAGTTTTCTTTGATCCAAATACAGTTGTATTTAATAAATCATATTTGAGAATGGAAGAAATAGAGATTTTATTTCAGCCCAAAACTAGGAATATAAAAAGAAACCATTACAAACACAACGAATAACAAAATGCACACAAAAAATGTAAGATTTAAAACACAAGAGCAAAATTGGACTTAATCTGTAGATCAACTTTTATATCACCTTTCCTTTTTTGGTAAGCATAGTGCTAATTTTTGCCACCTTGTAATATTGTCTGAATTTGAATCATATAAAAGAAGAGAAAAATGTGTCTGATCTAAAACAATGGGGAACATTTTAACAAATATAGGATAACAGCTACAGATAACAAATATACAGTTTTAAAAGATTTTAGTATTTTAATTGTAAAATATTTTTTTTAAATTGTAAGCTGCTCAGTCATTGATTGAGATATGCTATGATAGAAATTGACTGATTGACTGACTGACTGACTGGCTGGCTGAATGAGTGAATGAACGACATTGCCCTTCAAAATTGTCCATTCCTCTGAAGAGATATTTTGGTGCTTCCTTTTGCCTTGGGTAAATATATATTTATATCAAGTTCAGCACCTATTCAATCTTAGTTGATCTAAAAAAGACTAAGCAGAGTTCTTCAAATTAGTACTTGGGTAGGAGCCCACCAAAAAAATCTCAAGACCATAGATTTATTTAATTTATTTAATTTATATGGCCACCCATGTCACAAGAAAGGACTCTGGCTATGTGGGGGGGAAAAGAATAAGTATGTCAATCATATAAGCGCACACACACACACACACACACACACACACGAGATTCAGTCAGTAATGGAGCAGCCTTCAGATCTTATCTGTCTGAGACCCCGAGGCCTGATGACAAAGAGAGGTCTTAAGAAAACTAAATCAGGAATTCAAAGTATTTTCTGGAAGAAAGCAGTGCCAACTCACTTTCATATTGCTGACAAGAAAAAGTCAATAGGTAATATGTCTGTAAAGTTCCCCACAGTGAGATCAAGTCAGAGTCTAACTTTTATGAATGCTCACTGAATATCAAACATGGGAAGAAATCTACATGAAAATTTTTAGAGATTAAGCACAACCTCCCCAACCTTCTGATAATTCTGTTGTTGGAACTTCCTTCCAACAAATATGAGATGGAAAAGATTCATCTTCTCTTGTTCCAGCCTTATAATGATTCTATAACTTTGCCGCTAATCTATTTTTTAAAAGAAAAAACAAGGATATAGCAGAGGAAAAAGATTTAATGAGCACTTCCATATAGTACCTTTCATCTTCAACAGATTTTCCAAAGTTTGCTCCAATTCCTGGATATAATTCTTAGCTTGGCATAAAACTTGAGACTAAACCAAAAAACAAACAAACCAGAGCCTATTGTATGCATTCTGAATAGGCTAATATTCATGTATTCATTTAATTGGTTAGCTAATTAATTAACTGGATTTCGAGGCCAACTTCCAAACATGAGATAATATGGCATTAAACCGTCATAAATACATGCCTGTTGCCAAGTGTGTAAATTTTGATGTGACCATGGGGATGCTGCAATGGTTGTAAGTTGAAAATGCCCATAATTCATTTTTTTCAGTGCCATTGTAACTTTGAACAGTCACTAAACAAATGGTTGTAAGTTAAGGACTATCTGTATTCTCATCTACTTACACTAAGTATAATAAATAAGTCAATCAGGAAGGAAATTAAAACTTGAGAAGCAAGAGGCTTTGAAACAGCTTGAGAGGATAGACTACATGTAGTCCTTGACTTATGATTACAAGTGAGACCAAAATTTCTGTTAAGTGAGAAATTGTGAGTTTTGCCCCATTTTATGACCCTTCTTGCCACAGTTGTTAAGAGAATCTCTGCAAATGATAAGTTAGTAACATGGTTGTGAAGTAAATCTGGCTTTCCCATTGGTTTTGCTGATCAGGTTACAAAAGGGGGTCTAATGGTCTTGGGACATAGCAACAGTCATAAGTATGAACCGGTTGCCAAGTGTCTGAATTTTGATTATGTGATCATGGGGATGCTACAAAGGTCGTAAATGTGAAAAATGGTCATAAGTCACTTTCCCCCTCCTGCGTAAGTTTAAATGGTCACTAAATGAACTGTTGTAAGTCGAGGACTGCTTCTATTGTATTTAATTATTCCAGGAAACCTCATTCTATGACAAGAGCTAGATACTTTTATATAAAAAAAAAGTTTCTTCATTAAACCTTAATTATTCTTTCAGTTTAGAGGTGAGTTCTCTAGCTATTTTTTACAGACTGAAGATTTTGCTTTGACTTTGCACATACCTCAATCATCTCAGCAATAGATTAAAATGTATATTTGTGCCTGAGTATGTAGTTGTTTTCCTAACATATTTTTTTTTATTGCACTAAGTGCACTGGGTAAATCAGTCTTGCTTTTGATCTTTTTAAAAAAATACATGAAACAGTATGAAACAGGCTTATAAATTAAGATACCAAAATGTCATCGACCAGAAAGAAACCAAATTATAAATCCGTATTTCCGTATCACATTCTGCATCACACCTTGATAGCTCAAAGCTCTAAGCCAGGGGTGTCCAACCTTGGCAACTTTAAGACTTGTGGACTTCAACTCCCAGAATTCCTCAGCCAGCTTTGCTGGCTGAGGAATTCTGGGCTGTAAATCCCCCAAGTCTTAAAGTTGCCAAGGTTGGACACCCCTGCTCTAAGCCAAGATAAGGACTCTTGGTGTCTACCAACTTCCCTGACATCTGACTTAAAGAAAGATTATTTCACTAAGTAAAATAGGAAGATAGCATGTTGCAAAGTAAAGCAAAGCATTCATTTGTAATATTATTTATGTGCAGCAATAGTTTGACACTGAAAAGAGAAACCTTGGGATTCCTTTTGCTAAATGGATGGTTAGTAGTGGACAAGTAGAGTTGCTTTGAAATGAGATGGGTGGCAAATAGATTTAATAAATAAAAAATATTTTTTTTAAAAAAAATGGATTGCTATGTCTGTCACGGCAGGGTTTTTGTGAGTTGGCATTCTCCCATAGTATTTACTTCTTTATTAAAAAGGCTGCTTGCTCTTACTCAGAGATATAATTCTAGCACACAGAGGACAATTCCCTACATTTAAAACAAAATCGGAACAAGCATTAAATCAAACTTCCATGACAGCTTTAATTTCATAAATGAAATTTTTAAACAGCATTGAAGAACATGTGAATAATACAGCAAGAATAATATTGATTACTAAGTATTATTCTTATTGTATTTAATTTTTTTTTCACCTTTAGACTGGCATACTTATTTCTGTACCTTTGAGACAGAATTTTCTTGCTGCGAAAATACAGTTTCTCGTAAGTTGTTGAACAGTCCTGCCAAAGTAGCTCTATGACGTGCCTGAGATAAGCGTCTTTTGCCCACTTGTGGCTCTATACCTTGCAGACGAGTATGGTATTTAGGAGTCACTCTGGCATATGGGGTGCTGTAGTCTCCAGATATCTCCATCAAAATCTGAAAGATAATACCTACACTAAACATGCATAATGTGAAACCTTTGGTTTCTTACTGTATTAATGTTATAGCATCACTATGAGTGAATTAGATCAAAATTCATTTTAATTGCTTATATTTATGCAACAAGGACAAATAAGATGGCCAAAATTAGATGAAAATATATGCATGTTGAACATTTTCACTGTTATAAAGGTCAAAATGCTTAAATCTTAATATTTCGCTTGTTATATCTTGATGCTAAATAATGACTCCAGTGCTTTAAAGGTCTATCTGTTATTGCTGTTCTTATTCATAGTACTATTAGTTACACTAGTATTTATTACATTTTCATATAATTTTTGTGTGTGTGGGGCGGACAATGACAGTCTGAAATTTCATGAAGCAGTCAAAGAGCTGAAGAGTTTTGGGACCCCTGTCCTAGAGCCGTCCAGCCATCTTGGTGCTGATATAGTAATAATGAGAAACTTTCTACTGCCTCCATAATGGCTGGGTGGTGCTAAAAGGTATATGTCACAGGTAGAAAAATAGCTCATGGCACAAGGTCAGGCTGTTTCAGTTTTGAGTTTACTTAATAAAGTTTAGGTAATCTATTTCTCTTCTTGCTCTTACAGATAACATATGTATGATGACTTCCTTGCTGTCTGCTTGGACGATGAGGAAGAGCCAGCTATGAGGACTTTGGTGGGGTATGTATGCGGAGCAGCATCGGGAAGCTGCTGAGGGTCCCAAACCAGGAATGGAGAGGCCGGGGTCATGTCAGAAGGGTCACTGGAGGGGCAACTGGATGAACTCCCAGCTGGAGAAGAAAAGGAGAGGCACAGCTGCAGCCGGAGAGCTCAGAGACCCTCCTGGAAGTGCAGGGTGAAGATGGACAGCTGCAGCTGGCCAGTTTGGATGAGGAATTGCCTCCTCCACTTGATCCGCGGACACGCAGGGCAGAACAAAGGCAGGCTCAATGGAGGCCAGCAAGGATACTTGCGAGGAGGCAGCCTCACCCCTAATAAGCTACACTGGCAAGTATTTAGTTGGGCAAGTAGAACAGAGGGTTGTTTGAAAACAACTGCCCATTCTCCAGCCATGTGCATGCTTGCCTTCATGAATTTTCCTCAACTCTGGACTGTGCTGTGTTTGACCATGAGTTTGGACTTTGGACTTCTTCATGGATTTTAGACTCATACCTTGGACTTTGGACTATACCTGAATTGTGGACTTTATAAACTCTTGCCTTTGCTTTTGAACTCGGTATGCTCGTGCCTAGACTGAAAAGCTGTAAGTGCAAAATATGCAGGCAAAACATTATCAAGAACTGAGCACTACCGTGTTTCTCATATAATAAGGCCGGGTCTTATTTTTTTTTTGAGCCCCGAAAAAATGGCTAGGCCATCTTTTCGGGGGTGACTTAATTCCCCCCCCCTTGCATCTTCGGGCGGGCGGTGATGGCTTGGATGTTGACCTCGGCATTGGTGGGGCACTTCATATCGGGGTCAACGCAGGCAGCACCATATCCGGGTGTGCAACAAAAGTACTTCCTAATGGCAAGCCCCCCCCACCATTCCCCCCATTTCGCATGTTTTAATATAGGCCTTAATTTGGGGGGAGGGGCTTAATTTCATTTCATGCCTATAAAACATGCTGGGACTTCCTATTGGGGGAGGCCATATTGTTGGAGAAACAGGGTAGAACCACTTTATGTTTGTACAACAGGTTTTTTTTAACTGGCATTTAGATTGGTTTCAGGCCTAGTGCAAATTGTTGTCATTAACTTAAGCAGAATTTTATAGCTTGAGACAATACAGTATTGAATGAAGCATTTTCCTTCAAATTTCTTCCCAATTTTCAAGATTATTAAATGCCTTGTTTTGAGTGCCTTCATATGTTGAGATGTAATAGGAGGTTGTTGTCAGCAATGGACATTTTCATTAATACTCTCCTAGTTTGAGGTCTACATAGCATGTATATTATTCCAGGGGAGCGCTTGACAAAAATTCAAAATTGTTAATTCTTTGTTTTTTTTTAAATATGTGTTGTCTCTGCTGGTTTAAAATGTTGTTTTATATGTTGTTTTATTAATTTTTTTCACCGATTTTACTGTATTTTTATGGTACATTGTCTTGATAGATTTTTTCTCTAATACCCAATTAGCAATTACAATTTAGCAACAATTAAATAAATAAATATAGCTTGCATTGGAGACCTTGAGACTATATTTACATGACACATTTACTCAAGGTTTGATTAATCAATAGTTTTCTGAATTTGCACAAGAAAATAAACTCATACAAGCGGTGTTCATTCAAATGATAAAAAGTAGGTGGCTAAACAGAAAGTCATCCAAATGTGAAAGAGCCAATCTACCAGAATATATTGTATTATAGAGGTAGTCCTCGACTTATGACTACAATTGAGCCCAACATTTCTGTTACTAAGTGAGACAGTTGTTAAGTGAATCTTGCCCCATTTTATGACCTTTCTTGCCACAGTTGTTAAGTGGATCATTGCAGTAGTTAATAACACATTGTTAAGTGAATCTGGCCTCCTCATTGACTTTGTCAGAAGGTCACAAAACGTGATCACATTATTGCAGAATATTGCAACCTTCATAAATATGAACCAGTTTCTAAACATCCAAATTTTGATAAAGTGATTATGGGGATATTAAAAGGTCCTAAGTGTGAAAAACAGTCATAGGTCACTTTTTTTCAGTGACATTGTAACTTTGAACAATCACTAAATTAACTGTTGTAAGTTGAGGACTACCTGTATTAGCATATTACAACTATTAGTATATTATAATCCTTCTGTTATGTATAGAAAATTATTTTTATGAAGAAAAATTATATATATATATATATATATATATATATATATATATATATATATATAGTGTATGGCACATGTAAGTCAGGGATCATCAAGGTCGCTGGCTGCTTCTATGAAAGGAATTTTTTCGGGAGGTGTTATCTTTACCCGTGGGATGCCTGAATGCCCGTAGGCAGTCAGGGGAGGCTCCTTTCTTGTTCCTCCGTGGTTTATTTGCTCACGGAAATCGAGCCGCCGAGCTGCCAACCTCAGCAGTGCACAGGCCCAGCGTCTTAAGTGAGCCACTGCAGCCCATCTGCCATATAAACTTCTACCCGTAGCATGACACAGTAAAGGAACATTGGCTGCTGTCTTTGAATGAAATTCTATTTAAATTCAGTCTTTCTGTTAGAAGGCTCAAGATCATACACCAGAATTTATACACACAATTTCATTAGAAAAATTAGGCAAATAGACATTAATTAAATAATATAATTCAGTAAATGGATTTGAATATAGGCTTCATTCTAATCATGATAATCTTGCTTGTCAGGCTATACTGTTGACCCAGAGTAACAAAAATACAAGAATCATCCTTCCTGCATATTCAATGAATATATCTACAATATTAGTTCAAATGAATGGTTTAAATATGATTTAAATAAATTAATAGAGAATAAGACTATTTATTCAGACTCCAAAAATTGTGGAGTATGCTTGTAGTCCAATGTGCTTAGCACAGGACATGATAACAAGGCTATTTATGGCTTCTAGTTAAAATAGCAAGAGATTACTTTCAACATTGAAATAAGGCAAGGTGCAATACAGCAGTATTCCTCTCTTGCTAATGGGTTTCCAATTGGTATTTGTCAACAGAAAACACCTTGCAGTTTCAGTTGGATCTATTCTTTTTTTTTTTGCTCTGATGTTGTCCTATTGAAAGAGAAATATTCCTTGCTTCTGACTAAATATGTGTTTAGGGTATTTAAAAAAGTGGGGAATAATAGTCCATATATTGGTTAGTCATACACTTTGCATGCAAAAGAGCTAAGGTTTCTTCTCTTGAATCCCAGAGAATTACTGCTACTGCATAGACAAGTTGGAAGGACCAATAAACTGACATGACGACATTCCCTGAATATCAGTGGTATTTGAAATAGCAGTGTTTATCATTTTCTCAGCTTGTTTTTCCCAGGATTTCCAAATTACAAGTAACACTGTTCCTCCTGACTTCGAAAGATAAAAGAGGTTGAAACTTACTACTTTTTCTATTAACTATACAGCCAAACAGCCACTCTATGTATCTACCACCGTCTGCGTCCGGCTATTCTCCGGGTTCGTCCCGTCCCCTTCTGTAGAAGCTCCCTTTCTTTTCACCATATTTTTCTAACGTCAGCGTGCCTGACTAACCTTCCTTAGGAGTGCAATTCTTTCCCCACGTTATGCTCCCAGTTCCTCACTCCACGCTCTCCCGTCTTTACAGACTCGACCCTGGAATACGAGAGACAAAAACTACACTTTTCAGAGTTACGCGACTCACTCATTCGTTACTCCCAAAACCTACCGCCCACTCCACCTTGCATACGTTCCACTCACCCACCTACCGACTATCCCCGCACACGCTCTCACCATAGCATTAACTTAGCGGCGCATAATATGACCAATCACATCGCAGGAGAATTCGCCAACTTCCAGTAGGAAGACGCGAATGTTAAGCAAGAGATTCTGACCGAGGTGATGCCGGAAATAGTAACAAAAACGCGGGAAAGATAAGACGAGGCGAAGCGAGCAGTTAAGAGAAAGTGAAGGTTTCAGAGTCCTGGAAAAGAGATAGTTTTGATTTGTGTATTGTTTATTATATATTAGGTATATATTAGGATATGGGGTTGTTTTCACACCGTACTGGAGCTCCTGAAGATTTCTACGTGTTTGCTTCTAGGTGCAGTGTCATCAAATAAGGGTGTTGCACTCTCCGTATTTAGTTTAAACCGGGTCTACTTGCCTGTTATACCAAAGCAGCTGATAATATATTTCATATAAATAAGGTGCCTAGAAACATACCCAATTCTCAGATTGAAGCAGACATTTACTTTTACTCTGCCCTATTTCTTTAACAAACTTGCCTACAACAAATTACTAATGGTCTAGAAATGCACCATAATTATATCTTCTCCAAGTAGTTCATTTTTTATGGAGGTACTGAAAGTTTTGAACTTAGCATGCAGATTCTAAGAAGACTTAATACCCTTATTTAAGAATAAATAATATATAAAATATTTCTTTTTAAGTGGTAGGGTAAATTAATTTTGCTCTAACCAGGTATCATTGCTGACTTGGTGTCAGTAACAAACTAATGACTGGTTGTTATAGGTATTGCAGATTGAAACTGCATAATTAACTTTAAAATGTTGACGAACTTAGGTCAACATTTTAAAGTTAATTATGCAGTTTCAATCTGCAATATCTATCTGCAATCTGTATGTGCATAATATGACTACCATTCTTGAATTATACTGATGGTTCATTTTCCATTCCATAAGTCCTTAACTGGATAGAGAACAGTCTGCAGCAGCTTTTTGCAACCATAATCCAATAAATCCTGAAGTCTGCTCTGTTAAAAACTTGATTTATATTTTAATGTATTCATATAGCAATACCAGAATCTTTTCAAGATTGAGAAGCCCAGACGTTGAAGGCTGAAACTACGATCTCCATTTTTTTGCTGTATCCTATTCCTTTTTTGTTTAGTGGTTTGTGTCAATTGCATCAATAGCCCTGTAATTGAGAAGGCAGACAAGTGAATTATTTCTTACTATATTTTATAATTTAGTTTTGTTCTTTTGAATGAAAAATATTAATTCATTGTCAACACTAAGCTGCATAGAACCATCTCAACCTCTCCTCCTGGGCAATTGCTTTAAAAAGGCCTTGAATGTACATGTTAAAAATATAATGGGTTAACAGCATACAGGATAGGTAATAAAGTTAGGGTTCATTCACATGAAATGTTTTTTTTTATTTGCATACGCTGTATGTGATAAGGGAAATTCATAACTAGGTAAGCTAATTAAGAGATATCTGGATTCTTTAAAACCTGAAATATGGAGGGTTGTGCCAAAATCATGAGTTTTCTTTACTGAACAGCGCTGCCAATTCTCAGTCAAATGATTTGTTTATTTAGTGTATGGCATATCATGACCTCACCCCTTTCCTAAGAGGTCTGTAGGGGGCGTGCATAAGCGCACCAACGTGCCTACCGTCCCTGTCCTATTGTTTCTCTTATTCTTTTATTTTTCTTATATGTACCCATTTCATGTATTCATAACTATGTATACACTTATACTTATTATCTTGTAAACAATTGGCAAATCAAATAAATAAATAAATAAAATAAATAAATGCGGCGACTAGCAATATAAATTAACATTTCAACCAAAAATCAGACAAAAGAACGAACGTCTTTTGAGGATATAAATGCTTCAAGACTCACACCCAGTTGTCTAAGCCAAACAAATCGCAAGTTGTAAATAAATGTCAATATTCATTTGTAATAAAAAGTTGGGTGGCGAAGGAAAAAACACCCAGGGGCGGAGCGAGGAGGAGGATTGGGGCAGCGAGCGAGCGTAGGGCGGCGCATATGGAACTCCGGGCGTCTCTTCGTCTTGTCGGCGAGCCGGGGGCGCGATGGCGGCTGCGGTGGAGCGTGTTGACGAATTGGTGCGGGAATACTTGGTGTTCCGTGGCTTCACTGCCACGCTGAAACAACTAGATGCGGAGATCAAGGCAGACAAGGAGAAAGGCTTCCGGGTGAGGATTGCAGAGAGGAAAGGCCTGGGCTGGTTTGAGGAGGTTTAGGTGATGGGGAGGGCAGACAGAACGCCCCTTCTTCCCCGGTCTTCCTTTTTCATGCTGACTTGCTACCGCCAGAAACAGGAACAGAGAAAGCATTGTTGTGCCCCGGAATTCTGAGCGTCTTTGCCAGAACAGTGGTTTCTGCCTGGACGGGCCTGCCTTTCAGTAGGGGCTGGTTTGAAATGATTTTGGGATTTGCTTTCAATTCGTTAGTTAGAAGGCATCCAGTCCCTTGCAGCTCTTCTTTAGAACCAGTCTTCCCAGAGAACAGGAGACGAAGAGCATGTGTAGAGTGCATCCCTTTCAAAATTGAGTGACTACGATGGTCCATAGACATCATGGATGATTGCTCGGGCATCTAGTTAGGTTGAGATGTTGACATTTTGCTTATATATAATGTATTTTTCTATTATTGAATCTGCCCAATAGATTATCAATCAAAATGAAATAATTGACACTAGAATTTCTTATTTAAAAAGACCAGGTCCAGATATATCTCATATAAAAAAGTTTTAACTGCTATTAAATCATTTAATATTTCATTGGGTAGAGATGCATAATTGGGAGCCTCAGTGAATCCATGTACCATGTACCATTTCTGAAATAAATGTTTTTAAAGTAGTCATGATAGATCTTTTAAAATTATTTTGTTTAAAAGCTCTGTATAGCTACCTACAGGGCCCACAACTCTGGTTGGTTAACAACAATGACTAAAAATACAATAAAACCAATATAAAAAGAAAAGAATGAAATAATAAAATAAAATTAAGAAAAACCACACACCCAACCCATAACTACATATCTATTGGTCTCTTCAATTCCTGAACTCCAACCTTATTGTCCCAGCCAGCTCCTTACCAACATGCAGAACACTTGTTACCAAATTATAATTTTTTAAATATGATGGAAGTGGAAAATTATGAAACATAAATCTAGAATGGCAAAAGTAAATGAAATAAAATATTTTTCTCCTAATATTTGGATTATAATACCAACTAATATTTGGATTGCAACATCTTGACCCAACGTTCAAAGGCCAGATGCAACTTTTGTCTGGAAAGTTACTGTATATATTATAATGTTTCTATATTCCCTGGTATTTCTTTATATGTTTTGTTTCAAGTTCCTTTTGAAATGACCTGTTCTTTCCTATTTCTATTGGTTTTAGCTAACAATAGCTGAACTCTACTTACAGGCCAGTAACCTGACATTCCCTTTATAGCTGAAATTGACTTGAAATAGAGGGTTATAAATTACATTTGTATTGGTTACAAATTACAGATAGTGCTTGACTTACAATCACAAGTAGAATGTCCATGGCTAAGCAAAGCAATAGTTAAGTGCATCCAGTTTACAACCTTTTTTCCTATGGTTGTCAAGCAAATAATGTGGCCATTAAGTGACTCTGGCTTCACCCATTGACATTGCTTATTGGGAGCCAGCTGGGAAAGTCTCAAATGGTGATCATATGACCCTGGGATAGTGCAGATGTCATAAATACATACCAAGTGCTAGTTGCCAAGTGCTTGAATTTTGATCTTGTGACCATGGGATGCTTCTGCAGTTGTAAGACAAACAAGCTTGTCGTAGGACGCCTTTTTCAAGGCTGTTGTAACTGTAAGTAGCCACTAAATGAATGGATGTAAGTCAAAGACTACCTGTATATCAAAACAAAGGTTATAGTCTTCTCAATAATAGAGTTAAAGATAGATGGAGAATAAATCAGAATTTAGAGGTATTTTTCAGTGCTTGAATGGAGCAAATGAGAATTGTTCCAGATAGTAACCAAGACATTCCAGAACTATTCTAAGCTTCCCTACCTGTACTTAATACCTGTATCAGTTACTTGCCATTTGCCATTATTTTTTTCAAAGTTAAAACAATCAGGTAAATGCTTTGTGACTCCCAGGTCTGTTACTATAAAGATTTTGGATTGGTAGGAATTCTTCAAACATTTAAGAACTGCATTCTGGACCCCAGATATGTTCCCATTGCATCTTGTTACCTCATATATTTGCCTCATTTGGAATTGGAGAGACATCTTTTCAACTGCATTGTTTATAGAATTGCATGGTTATATTTCATCCTGGAACAAAGAAATTGGAAGCAATCTTTATTGCAGATTCTCAGGACAATTGTCTTGAGTAGTTTTTGAGTAGGCTAATGTATTGATACGAATCATCAAAAAGTCTTAATTAAGAATAAAAAAACTTAAATGGAAAGGAGTTAACCGAGGGCTGTTAATCTCCATTAACCATTTATTTAATGTTACACATGTGTTTCATAAAATTTTGTCCTTATACAGGCTAATTGTCAGACCCTCAATATTTTTGGAGAGGAAGTAGGGAAATTGGGAAAAATTGCCCACATGAAGTTGGATAACAGAGACGACCCCACATGCACTACTATACTGCCCTTTTAATATGGACTGTTGTCCTTCCCTGAACTATTAAATCCTGTCAAGTGTACTTTAATTATATATATTTGAATCTTGTTTTTATAAAGGGGGCAAGCATTTGCATGGAAAATCATGGTCACCATACATGATTTTGATTTTTTCCTTCTCTCCTTTATCCTGTGACAGATAATTGAACCCTCTAATTATTGCTGTGATTTTTCTTGATGACTGAAGTTATTTGATTACATAACTTACTTTGGAGGGTTTCTAATTAGGTGGACAAGATAGTGGACCAGCTTCTGCAGTTTGTTCACAACTATGATCTAGCTGCCCTTCGGGAGTACTGGAGTTACCTTGACAGACGCCTTTTCAGTCGACTGGAGGATATGTATCGACCTACAGTGAACAAGCTGAAAATCAGTTTATACCGCTATTATCTCATTCATGCTGTGCAGGTTTGTTTCAATTTAATAAGCTTGCTCCAGAATAAGGATAGTTAAAAATAGATACAGGTAGTCCTTGATTTACAACAGTTCATTTAATGACTGTTTTGACGTTACAATGGCATTGAAAAAAGTGACTTACGACCATTTTTCACACTTATGACCGTTGCAGCATCCCCATGTGATCAAAATTCAGATGCTTGACAACTGACTCATATTTATGACAGTTGCGGTGGCCCGAGGTTGTATAATTACCTTTTCTGACCCTCTGACAAACAAAGTCAATGGGGAAACCAGATTCATTTAGCAACTGTGTTACTAACTTAACAACTGCAGTGATTCACTTAATAAGAAAGTAAGAAAGGTCGTAAATGTGGTAAGAAAGGTCGTAAATTGAGGCAAAACTCACCAGCTGTCTTGCTTAGCACCTGAAATTTGGGGCTCAATTGTGATTGTATGTCAAAGGCTACCTGCATTCTGTCAAAACACAATAGAGACAATTCTTCAGAAAATAGTTTCATGATTTAGTGGGAAATGTATTCTTATTCTGTTGGAGAACTGTAAAATCTGTACTTTCAGCTGCTGAAGTTTGAACAGCAGCTGCTGTGGGGAAAAAGTGATATCTGAACTCTTTTTTGTACATTTTAGGCAAACAGAAATGATAAGATACAGGAATTCTTTCTCAAACAAGCCTCTGAACTTCAAAATCAGACTGAATGGAAGGACTGGTTTGTTTTGCCTTTTATCCCAAATCCAGATGCAAACCCTAACTTTGCCATGTATTTTTCCCGTCGGTGGATAGATATTTTCATTGTTTCTCTGCATAACTTTCTTAGTGTTTTATTTCAGTGCATGCATATCCTTTTCCATATGGAAGAATATTGTAAGCCTGAATCAACTGCTTTTCTGTGTACATGTTTTCTTTCACTTCTTTTATTGTTAGAAAGTCATAATTATTTTTTATGAGGGCAGTAGGAATCATCTTTGCATTCTAGCACAACTGCTTCTATAACTAACGAATTAATATATTCTCTCATGATTCAAATAATCATCCATCACTCTTCCATGCTAGAACTGTATGCTAGAAGCCCAAGTAAATGTAATTTTGGCTAAACTTTAGAAAGAGCTGTGTGGTTTAAGTGGGAAAGATATTCTTGTTATAAACTATATCATTCAGGTGAGATCACATATTGCCCTGGCACAAAAGGACTCACAAAGTCAAGTTTTTTATGTTGGACCTGTTTTGTGTGTGTGTGTCAGAGAGAGATTTTTCATAGGGCAAGAGCAGCATCAGGGAAGACAAAGTTATTTCTTAAAAAAAATATTTAGGTTCTTGAAAAGTACTTAAAGCTTAGTGCATATGCAAAGGGAAGACACCTGTAAATATCTTAAGTTTCTTTATCCTTAATCTTTGTTACCTGTGCCAGTGATTATGAACTTTGAAGCAGAATGTCAGCGGAACAATGTTCTGCAAGAAAAAAATGAAATCCTTTGTCAAAAGGTAAGAATGGCACTTGTATATTAAGATTTGTATTCCAATTCTGGCACTGAAATATATCATTCAATTTTTCACTATATGTAGTTGGAAAAACCAAGAAAGAATAGTTATTCATAATATGAACTTGAATTAAGTATCAAACAAGTCAGGATTTATAAACCAAATTTCAAACAATGTTTGTTAGACTATCCTGAAATGTTTGAATGAGTCATATAAAAATGTTCCTTTGTGGCTTGTAAGCATACTTGTGCATGCTTCCCATTCATATTGTAGTTTGATAAATTAAGATTCCTGCCTAATAGGTTGTGCTAATATTATTGCTGTTTTGAAATTAATGACCAGTTAATTTCCATTTCTATAGCTTGCATTCATATAGAGGGAAAGCAATTCAATTTTTTATTCATTCTCCATTTTTTTCCTAGTTGTTTGCTTTGCAAGCAGAATACTCCCATATCAAAAAAGAGGAACTACAGGAGGAAGAGGAGGATTTGACGCTTCAACATAAGCTTCCTCAATATGTAGTTAACATGGACCATCTGGGAGACTCAGAGCTGTGAGTGTATGTGAGAGGCCAATCAGTGAACACAATTAGATTACCCAGAGAAATCTTGGACCTTTTAGAAGTGTTTGCATGATTTACTTAGTCAACTTTCCTAGAAATATAGATAAATACTATGGAAAAGAAAGTTAAGGAAACATTTGAAAATTATTGCTTGTCTTGTATCTTCTCCCTCTCCTTGGCATTCTACGTTCTCATATAACTGATGGTTAGGTATCTCTTTTTTACAAAAAAATCTTCCTGAGTTGTTAAATGCACTTCATGTAGGAAAGCATCCCTCAACTGGGTGCCTCTAAGATTCTTCAGACTGTATAAATTCTGAGCTAGTTGGCTATGCAAGAATGGGAATTCTGAAAATTGGACCCCTGTAATGTTTCTGAACAAGGCAGGTTGGATAAGTGTAGTTCAAGAACTCTGTTTGAAAATGAACATTGTGTGACATAAATGAAAATTCTTTTGGAAAGTGGAATTTCTGTCAGGTATGGAGATTTAGGGTTCACCACCATTAATTTGCCTCCCCACCACTACTCCCTGCATCTCATTTAGTGACTTGATATGCAGCCAGAGAAGCACTGCACATTCTCTACAGGCCCGAGGAGGATTCCTGTCTTCCTTGCTACCTCAGAGCAAGAAGGGCCCCGCAAGAGCAACCCAGCCAACAGTAGCCACCTCAGCACAGATAGGAGCCACACAGGGAAGCAAAAAAGAACTGCCAAACCACCAGGTAAGGAGAAGTAATTGTGGTTTTTCTCTGTGTAAGAATCAGAGTACACAATACAGTAATGTTTCTGTATCTGCCATTCTGTTTTGTACCTGAACTTTTAATTTAGGCATGGGGCTAGGGAGAATAAAAACATGTCAAATCTTCCCTTGGCTTTCTAGGTCCCCAGAGGGAAAGAGGCAGCAATCGGAGGCAAGGAATCAAAAAGTCATGTCAGTGGTGTAGTTTCCATGGAGCCTACCTCAATACAACAGAATCAAAGACGTTTACAGGATCATGGAAAGGAAAAGAAAGAGTTTGGATCTAAAATAACTTTCCAGGTAGCGCAGCTAGTGTCTTGTGTGGATAGGGCAAGTTTTCATTCTCCTGAGTATTTCTGAGTAAAGTGAACTTTCTGCTCATAACCAGCTGATTGGTGTAAGGAAAAAAATGACCCATGACGTCTGAGCAATTAGTTATTTGTTTTTGTTTTTCTTAAAATGAGTCACCTATTTGAACTGGGGAAGTTAAGCATCAGTGTTATTTCTTCTGCCAGCTGATGTTCTCTTATGAATCACAAAAGGGACAAAGGGTTCTGAAATATTTTTTCCCTAAAGTTATTTGAGCAGCAGCAGTCAGCTGCTTGTTTGTCCTGCAGTTTATTTGCACTCAGGGATGAATATTATGTACGGGAAGAACTTGTGCAAGCCTTCTCAGCTTTTGAAACTTGATAGAAAAGAGATAAACAGCAGTTTTCCTTCTTTAAATTTTTTTTTATTATGAAAGACCAAAAGATGCATTATGGTCTTTGGGTCAGAAAATATAATTGCATTTTATATGAACACTTCTTGTTGATTGTGATAAGCCCTCATTTATTTCTAGAATGGTAGAAAGTTGCTAATAGTTGCCTCTTCTGTTAGAACTGACTGGGCTATGATGTCTTTTACCCTTCTACTGGCAAATAACATGTTACTAAGACATGGTATCTACAAAGGATATTGTCACAGCATAAATTTTAGAAACAAAATGTCCTTCAAATCAAACCCTTAGAAATAAATTTAGAATGTAGCAATAGCACTTAGAGTTCTATACCGTTTCACAGTGCTTTACAGCCCTCTCTAAGCGGTTTACAGAGTCAGCATGTTGCTCCCAACAATCTGGGTCTTCATTTTACCGACCTTGGAAGGATGGAAGGCTGAGTCAATCTTGAGCTGGTGAGGATCGAACTGCCAAACTGTTGGCAGCCGGTGATCAGCAGACATAGCCTGCAGTACTGCATTCTAGCCACTGAGGCTCTATAGGGAGTAGGTTCTTCATTGCCTTTCAATATTTTGCTAACTTAGGCAATTAGACAATATTTTCATTGTAGATTACAACATTATGGTACTTGGTGTTCTCAATCTTTTTTCCTAAATGTTTGTAATTCTAAACTTGTCTCATTAGTTCTTTTTTTTTTGCTGCTGTTTTTTTTCTCTGCTGGATCCGTGAGATCTCTTTTCAGGAAGTTTAGGGGTCTTGTTAAGAGTTAATTCTTAACTTTTGTATTTGTAGCTGAATGTGTTTGTGTGTGCATGTACATATGAAATGAATTAGTATGAAATAAATTAGTGAGCTTTATCAGCCATTTTGTAGCAAAAGTGCCAAATACTCTTTTTGGACTTTTTTATTCTTGCTGTTATAATCCTCAATGAATATTACTCTATTGGAAGAAGCCTTGGTTTCCTCAACCTAAATTACCGGTAAATATCCTTGTGTAGAATATTTTTTAATGTGGAACTCAAGTCTGGTTTCTTTCATATTGAAAACGATTCCTTTAATCTTGCCCTCTTGCCTTTTCTGATTTTCAACTGTTTCAACAAAACAGCATGATTGGTTTATTTTTGTTTGGTGAGTGATGGTTGAAAAAATGTGCCTGGTGGAACTTTTATGTTTTTCCTCTTTTTGGACAGTATTTATCTCTGTTTGTGTCAAAATTGTTCAGTAGTTCCATTTTTCAGTGAGGAAGTGGCAAGTACTAAACATTCCTACCTAATCCTGCTTAATGCTATTAACTTAGAGAACTTAGAGACTTAATTGAGTTTGGCAATAATTTTTCTAAACCAAAAAATACGTTCTGTTTGGCAATTGCTGTTGCATTAAGAATTTGTTGTCCAGGGTACTGTTTGTAAGGTTTGTAGATATGCAAAATATTCTGTAGTATAAAATCATATTTATAGTTATCATTATAGATATTGTTATAGGGTATACCATTGGGAATCTTTTCAGGCTACAATTGTATACAAACATAAATATGCGAATGCAACATGATCTCAATCTTTGTGATTACTGATTAAAATCATTATGCTTCTGTGACATGGAGCTAACACTATGCAAAAATGATTTTTTGCAAGTTCCCGTTTCTGTGCCCCTGAAGGCGGTATGGGACCATTTGCTGCTTAGAAAGTTTACATTTTGGGAATGGCAATATACTTTATAGAAGAGTATTTAATATTTAGCCATTTTTCTCCATTTAATATTTACTGCTTTTTTAAAGAAAATGGTTTAATAGAATAGAAAAGAAGCAGAAAACATATAAAATACAAAAAGGAAAGTGAAATAATTAATACCTAATTTTTGAAACAAATTAAATCTTGACCACAGGCAAACATATTGTCCAATCCTTTTATTGTATCGCTAATGAAACATTTTGAAAGCTCTGAGTGCACACCTTTAATCTAGCCAGTTTTTTGGTCCCTGTTATACATATATCTTTCCTAGGACATTTAATAACTTGTTACCATCCAAGCATGATGGATCCTAAATAGATTATTTCTAAAGTTTTGGAATGTAATGTAATAATATATTTACACCTTTGAAGCTTGAATCCTTAACATAAATGAATATTTAATCGGAAGATATAACCAAGTCATGTGATATAATTTATCTTTGATTTTTTACATCTCCACCATAAAATGTATATAAAGCTGGGGAAAAATTGGGCAGAGTAAGTAAGTAATCATTTTAAGATCGTTAGAATATATATGAAACCTCTTGACTGAATACTTGAGCAGTTATTTTTTTGTCTTCCATGAAGTCCTATTACATACAAATGCTTTAAACACACTCTAATCCAGGGGTGTCAAACTCAAGGATCATCGGGTTGACCACGTGGGCCAGATCTAAGCACTCCACGGTCCTAATTAGGCCCGTGGGGTGCTTAGATCCGGCCCACGTGGTCAACCCTCGAAACAGCGAGGGACTGGCCTGCGGTGCCTCTGCCAGCTCTTCTTTTCGCTGGCAGAGGGTTGCAGGAGGCCGTTGCAGCTGGAAACTGAGCTCAGGGAGCCCATTTTGCTGGTAAAGCACTTGGACCACCAAAGGCGCCTCCGACATGAGACATCAAGCTGGTCACGCCTACCTTGGCCACACCCACCTCAGCCCTCCCGAGGTCAAACCCTGCCAACAACCCTGATGCAGCCCTCAATGAAATTGAATTTGATATCGTTGGCCTAGATAGCCATCGAATTAGTTAATTGTCTATTTGAAAAAAATATATCAAAAATCTGAGCTTTGGATCTTCTAATGAGATCTAAAGTACCAGTTGGAAATATCTTCCTAAATGCTACAAATAATGTCACTGGCCTGTGATCAGATATTATAGTAGATCATACAGAATTTCTGCTTTTCTGCCAGCTGCATGACGGAGGTTTGCTTTTTAAATATAGTAAGTTCAGCAATGGTCTGACTTACAGTGCAGTTTCTGAATGAGGTGGTATTTGTAGACTGGATATTGAACAGGGTCAAATTTCATTGGATTCAAATAGTTCAATGTTTGCTTTTCTCCCAAGGGCGATTTCTCTGAGAGTGGATAGATCAATGAACAAAAATGTCTTATTTTGCCATTTGTAACTGTCATAATAATATTTGTGTTGTTGCTGACAGGATACAAATCTGTAGTCCTAAAACCTACCTTAGGGCAAGACAGGTTTGAAGAATTTAATTGATTTCCTTTTAGGGACAGAATGCTGAGAAGAAAGTGGAGATTACCGCCATTGAAACAGAATCATTCCCTGAGCTTCACGTTGAACAACTGGAAAACCAGACAAAAATATTTGGAACTGGCATGGATGTTGGAGGCATCAGGCATGAGCAGCCCTTCATTGTTCTGAGTCAAGAGGAATATGGAGAACACCACTCATCCATCATGCATTGCCGGTAACGATTGGCTAATGATTAAAAAACTGAATGTCATATTTGTCAATTTCATTACAGCAGAATAGAATCCAAATCTTCGTGAACTTACCAAATCGTTGACATTTATTCTTGGCTCCCAGTCTGTCAAATGCAAATTATAATTAGGTAAATGCTTTGTTAGCAGAAGAAATATACAAAGATTTGCATATTAGAAATACTATCTAAATGAACATGAAAATATCTACTCAGGGTTTAATAGATGTAAAAGATCAAATGGGTAGTAGAAATCCATATCATATTTATGAAGAGGAGGCTATCAATGAAAAAGCTTTTTTTTCCCTGTGTGCAGGGTAGACTGCTCTGGCCGAAGAGTGGCCAGTTTAGATGTGGATGGAGTCATCAAGGTGTGGTCTTTCAATCCTATCATGCAGACGAAAGCATCTTCAATTTCCAAGTCTCCACTGCTTTCTCTGGAATGGGCAACCAAACGGGATAGGCTGGTGAGTAGCGCGGTGGGTGGGTGGGAGAGTGATTACTGGGACTACAATTTTGGCCAGGGATGATTTTTAGGTCAGTGCATGAGGAGGGAATCATATTGAAGAAGTTGTACTAAAGCCATCTTCCTTTTTGCTTGGATGTTCCTAGACCTAAAGTTCCTTAAGATACCTGGCTCTGGTGGCAGTTATGGTTTGAGGGCATCACAGTAGACATGCATAATCTTCATGTCCACTGATGAAGCTACAAATACTAGGGTTGTAGCAAAATTAATAGAAAAGGGTTGCAGAATCCAAATTTTATGTGTTGGGTGCTTTCTGGAAAACAAATTCAGAAAGTGAAACTAAAAGATTGTAGCTTGGATATTAGGCTAACAAGCATTCTTCCAATGACTTACATCAGTTTAACAGGTATTGGCTCATTATTGTTGCTGAGCAATTTTGAGTTTCTTCTGCATGAGGATCTCTGAACTGGGATTATTCTGTGGCTAAAACTATTTTGATTATCCAATTGATTGTTTCTTACAGCTTGTTTGTATTCCTTGGCTGATTCTGTGATTTATTTTAAATGTGTGCCATCCCAAATAATTGAATTGATCATATAATAATAATCCCCAAATATCTGGAGTGCCACTTGAACACCATTGGCATTGACAAAATCCCCATCAGTCAATTGCAAAAGGCAGCTTTTCTTGGAACAGTTTACATCCTGTGACACCTTTAACACCATCAAACCACACCTGCCTATTGGGAAGAACTCAGGTGGATAAAAATGTAAATCCTCTTTAAATATCTTGCGGACTGTGTGACTATCCAGAATAATAAATTAAACTTACATGCCACCCACCACTGGCGCCTCGCAGCAATCAAACAAATTACAATGGCATCGATAAAACATACATACATAAAAACTTAAATAATAAATAAAAGGCCTTGTTGTGTTTTATATACTGTATATAGTTAATAAGATTACCATAGTAGCTATTATATAATTCTTAGAATAAAAATACCTTGCATGCAAGAATGGGAAACACTGTAAATATTTTATTTATTTATTTTATTAAACTTAATATGCTGTTTATCTTTCCTGGAGGTGACTCTAGATGTCTTACAGCCTTTCAGTAACCAAGAGAATCCAGAAATACTCAGATTCCTCCTTCCCTCCCTCCCTCCCTCAAAATTCTCCCATTTTCCTTACGTTTGCAAGATTTTAGAAGTCTACCATTCAGACAATGTCTAGTAATTTTCTTTTTGTCAGGAAGTATCTTAAACAGTTGCAGTTTAGGCTATGGATAAGATTAGTTAAAGAAAAAATGATTAGAACAAAGACAAGGTTTGATTTATTTATTTACTGTGCTAGAATCTGGTCTTGCCCTAGGCTCCAGGAGCATTGCTTTCAATCAGGCCTCTTTAAAAATATATGTAATCCAACTTTAAAAAGGCATACTATCTAGCAAACTGTAGATGGTGAAAGCTGAATGATAAACCAACCCCCCCACACACAAACAGAGGGAGAGAGAAGAGAGAGAGAGAGAGACAAGCCTGTTAATTTTCAGAGGAATACCAGTCGTAGCCTTCATCTGTTTTTTCTTCTGTTGCTTCTTTGAAGTTGTTGCTTGGCAGTGGAGTTGGTACTGTTCGTCTCTATGATACTGAAGCCAAGAAGAATCTTTGTGAAATTAGCATTGATGAAGATATGCCCAGGTATAAGCCTGACCTTTAACCTTTGTTAAAGATCACCATCGAGTGATCGTGATTTTTGTGACAAGAACAGTACTGCTATTTGTGGCATCTATTTGAGATCTGCATGACATAATATTGATTGTTGCTTAAGCTGATTGCTTATTTGTGAATTGGAATCATGAGCCCTTAGTGCTCTCTTGAGTTTGGCTGTTTTCTTGCAGTTGTTTCATTATTCAACCTAAGATAAGATTTGATGATGTCATCTAGCTGGGTAATGAAACATCTGAAAGATGAAAACAACCAAGCTCAGAAAGCAACAAGGACCCCTCATTTCAACTCTGAGCTACAAATATTCTTTATGAATCATGAGTGTATTTTCAGCTTTGCTTCTGTCACTTCTGCGCCATTTCAACAATATTGGGGAGGAGTTCTTAATGCTGTATTTGGGATGTTTTAGATGCCGTGACTTCTCTGCGTAAGAAAATTCTGTGACATAAGAATCAGATATTTTAATAATTTCACTTACTACTTCTGTTAAGTGTGACAAGCCTACTTGGGTTGTAAGACAGTGCCCAAGTTAAAGAGAAAGAATGAAATACAATGCTGCTATATCATCAAAGTTCTGGTCATGGTCAGGCAGAGGGCTGAGCCAATTTGCAGAGGGAATCAAAGGATTTTTCTGGGCTTCCTGTAGAGGTGCAACATGAGCTGAAACACAGTCTTTATTCTGCAGATATTTGATCACAGTCACACATACCTGTTTTTACTCATTTACATTAATTTAAGAGATGTTCAGAGACAATGAAAAAGATAGTATGTTTACATTTTTAATATTGAGAGTATTAGTATTAATACTCTCCATACCCAGTATAGATGCATGTTTTTGTGTTAGGAAAAAGGACAATGTAGAATTATGAAAAGTGCCAATAGTAATTGGCATCCTTCTTGGTTCTCTGGACTATCTATGTGGAAAGCCACAGTAAATTTTGTGTCTCTTTATTTCAGGATCCTGTCTCTTGCATGTAGTCCAAGTGGTGCTTCCTTTGTCTGTTCAGCTGCAGCATCTGGCCTTGTCAATCAGCTAGATTATGCTACATCAGATTCTGGAGGAAAGGGCATCAATCAAGTTCCTGGAAAATTGCTTTTGTGGGATACCAAAACTATGAAGCAGCAGGTATAGTATGTGTTTTTTGCCCACCCTTGAGCTTGTTTGATAAAAATAAAAGAAAGTTTTCTTAATCTGTAGCTCAAAAAAAGAAGGTACTTAACTGATGTTTTTAACAGATCCTTCATATGTTTCTCCTTAATATTATGGTTGCTTAGGGCGTTTGAATAATTGTTATCACAGTAGCTATAATGTTGATGTGAGCTAATGCTAAGTTGACCAATTTATGTTTGCTTACTGTCACCTTCTAGATTCAATGTTGCTCAAGGATGCCTAGTTGGCTTTTGTGGCCAGATGTACTTTTGTTCGGCTTTGAATGACACAGGGCTTACATTCTTCCTGGAAAAGATCCAGTTGTCCCAAGCACTGAATCATTCCAAGCTAAACCACTTTTAATGGCAAAGAAAACATGTTAAAAAAAAGTATGTCTCCTCCAATGAATCTGCAGGAGGATATACTTCCTCTCGAATCTGAAGTTATATTTAGACCTCTCTTGGTGGGAATTTTTTCATTTTATAAATAGCTGGTTTCTGTTTTCAGGAAAAATAGGCTAATATATGAAAAGCTCCTTGTGTACATTTAGTATTTACAGAATACAGTGGGAGATGAAGAAACTCAGATGTAAGTTTCGTTGAACAACTGCATTATTTATTTATTTATTTGATTTGTTTGATTTATTTATTTGATTTATTTGCCGCCCATCTCATTTCAACAAGATTCTCAGATAGATATCTCAGAGTAACTGCTCCCTTGGGAAAGAACAAACAATTTAAATTCTGTGTTCCCTATTTTTTGTTTGCTGTTTCAGCTCCAATTTTCTCTTGAACCGGAGCCCATTGCTATAAACTGCACAGCCTTCAACCATAATGGGAATCTCCTGGTCACTGGAGCAGCAGATGGCATAATTCGCCTCTTTGGTAAATGGCTTCGTTCCTTTTTTTTTCCATTTTAAATTCTGTAGGTCCTAGGATTTTCAGTTACTGAGCAGACACTTTGTTGTGGAGCAGGAGTAGGAAAATGGGCCAAAGGCTGGTACACTGACAAAAGTTAACCAGTTATGTTATTCTCATTTAATTCTTTACTTTTTATTAGATCCCTCATTTTAATAGATACTGTGTTTCTCACAAAATAAGGCCGGCCCTTATTTTTTTTTGACCCCTGAAAAAACGGCTTTTCGGGGGTGACTTAATTCCCCCCTTGCATCCTCGGGCGGGTGGGCGGCGACGGCATGGATGTTGACCTCGGTGTTGGTGGGGCACTTCGTATCGGGAGACCTTCCACCACCGTTGCTTTCCCTTCTCCCTGTGCTGCCGTGGCATTTAGAGCAACGCCGCAGCATTTGGTGCAGCCACGTGTGGCCAGCCAGGGCTCCTCCCTGCAACCGGAGCCCGGCGGAGACACTTGGCCTCAGGCACTCCTGTCGCCGCCTTCCCTTTGCCTTCGAAGGCAAAGCCAATTCTTTTAAAAACGACGCTCTACTACCGGTACGACAAAGCCTCCTCTGCCCAAGAGGGCAGCCCAACCCCACGTGGGGAGGCGAATCTCCCGGGGCCGCAGCGCAGGATCGGCCTACCCCAGGAGAAGCACCCAGCCGCCATCCCTGCCTGACGCCGGGCAGAGCGTGAAGAGCTTTGCTTGGGGCGCCCAGCGCAGCTGACAGGCAGGCCCTCCTGCCCGGCGGCGGAGCTCTCACCAAGGTAGCAAGTGCCTCCCCGCCAGGCTCTCTGCTCATCCTTCCAGGGCCACGGCAGAGCCGTTGGGCTGGGCAGAGCCGGGAAAGCGAGCTGCGGGTGCGTGCCCGCCTGCCAAGCGAAAGAGCTGGGCCGACCCAAGCTTGGCTTCCTTCCAAGTCCCTCAAGCCCGAACCCGAAGGGGCCACCAGGAGAGGCCGCCCGAGGCAGTGATAGCACCTACCCATCCGTGGACAGGGAGGCAAGGTGACGGCCTGCACCGCGTCCTCCGAGCTGAGCCCCGCCGAGTGAGCGCCTCTGCCCGATGCCCGTACAGCTGTAGCATTTGGAGCTGCTGGCGCATTTGGAGATGCGTGGGGATGGAGACGGGCTGGGCGAGGGGTGGAAAGGACGGGTGGCTTCGGGCTTCCGTTGCCTCGCCTCTCTGTCCGCGGACGGGTGGGCGCTATCGCTGCTTCGGGCCGCCTCTCCCGGTGGCCCCTTCGGGTTTGGGCTGGAGGGACTTTGGAAGGAAGCCAAGCTCGGGTCAGCCCGGTTCTTTCGCTTGGCAGGCAGGTGCGCACCCGCGGCTCGCTTTCCCAGCTCTGCCCAGCCTGCATGGCTCTGGCGTGGCCCTGGCAGGATGAGCGGAGGGCCTGGCGGGGAAGCGCTCGCTGCCTTGGCGAGAGCTCCGCCGCCGGGCAGGAGGGCCCGCCTGTCAGCTACGCTGGGCGGCCGAGGCGAAGCTCTTCGCGCTCTGCCCGGTGCCAGGCAGGGATGTCGGCTGGGCGCTTCTCCCAGGGTGGGCCGATCCTGCACTGTGGCCCTTGGAGATTCGCCTCCCCACGTGGGGTTGGGCTGCCCTCTCGGGCAGGGGAGGCTTTGTCGTACCGGTAGTAGGGCGTTGTTTTTGAAAGAATTGGCTTTTCCTTCGAAGGCGAAGGGAAGGCGGTGACAGGAGCGCCTGAAGCAGTGTGTCTCTGCTGGGCTCCGGTTGCAAGGAGGAGCCCTGGCTGGCCGTGTGGCTATGCCAAACGCTGGCAGCACGGGGAGAAGGGAAAGCAACAGTGGCAGAAGGTCTCCCGATACGAAGTGCCCCACCAATGCCGAGGTCAACGCAGGCAGCACCATATCTGGGTACGCAACAAAAGTACTTCCTAACGGCAAGGGCCCCCCCCGCCATTCCCCATTTCGCATGTTTAATATAGGCCTTAATTTGGGGGGAGGGGCTTAATTTGATTTTATGCCTATAAAACATGCTGGGACTTCCTATTGGGGGAGGCCGTATTGTTGGATAAACACGGTACAATGCAGTGCACCTTATGTACTGTATATTTTGACTATAATTCTCAGCTAATATACAATATTCAGAGAGGTTGTTATCATTCTGTATATGTATAACGTTGAGTGCGGGTCTCTATATCAGGTTTTATGTTAGGACTTGGCAGTTATTTATTTATTTGTATCCCACCTTTATTATTTTTACAAATGACTCAAGGCGGTAAACATATCCAGCATATCCATTCTTCCTCCTATTTTCCTCATGACAACACTCTGTGAGGTGAATTGGCCTGACAGAGAATGATTGGCCCAAGGTCACCCAGCTGGCATTCACAGCTAAGGTGGCACTTGAATTCACAGCCTCCTGCTTTCTTGCCTGCTGCTTTAACCACTAGATCAAGTTGGCTCACACTTTTCTCTCTGCTTTCTTACCTCATACTGGAATAAACAGAACTAACGATTGTTTGTGTTTTGGCAGAGATTGTTAAGATTTCAAAATTGGTCTTTTTTTGGGGGTGGTGGTGGTGTTCCATGTAGCTTCAGTTAGGAATGAGGAACATTTTCTCCCCCAAAGAGTGAAGTTCTAACTCCCATCTTCTCTCATAGCAAAGCCAATGATGAAATCCACAAATACATATGGTGCCCAAAATCAAAGGAGGTTACCAAATTGCTGTCTTCCAAGCTTCAGAGCTTCTATAGCTTTTTAATAGAATGGAGATGAAGAGTTAGTGGAATTAGTCATGTTGAACACCATTGTAACTGTTATAAAGATAATTATTTTCTTCCTTTATTATTTCCTTCCTCTAGAGAAATCATCCCATTATAATACCAGCCAGCACAAGTCTTTCCTGTCAGAATATCAACAGGGCTGGCAAGAGAGACACCAAGTTCAAAAACTGACTTAGAAGCCTGTAAAGGTAACCCACCTGCACTTTTTTCCTTTCTGTCTTCCAGATATGCAGCAGCATGAATGTGCTATTAGCTGGAAGGCCCACGATGGAGAGGTTTATTCTGTTGAATTCAGCTATGATGAGAATGCTGTTTACAGCATAGGTGAAGATGGAAAGGTAAGTTTTAAAAAATTGTGGCCAAACTGACATATATGACAGCAACACATTTATTTATATCACTATTTATATGTCTTTCTTTGGAGATATAGTTGGCCTCAAAATAGGTGGTATCTATATCTAATTAATGACACCTTATCTAGAAAAGACCATGCAACCCTCTGTACCTTCTGAAGTTTCACCTGAAAGCTGTTGATCCAGTGAATCTGTAAATAATTTTGAAAACTAGCAGATGTCCTAATTTGTAGGGACCCCACTGGTTATGTTTCTTCTGGTATCAGTGATATTTTTCTCTATATTTGTAGGTGCTATTGCACAGTAAAGAATGCATATTTTATATCTTACTGGGATCTATTATATCATTGTAGTTTATTCAATGGAATATCCATAAAAGCGGATGCAAAATTTCTGAATTTAGTCTCCCTAAAGATGCCACTGGGCCCTTTGTGTTGTCTGGCTATAGTGGATACAAACAAGTCCAATTCCCACGTGGAAGGCTCTTCGCATTTGATTCTGAAGGAAACTACATGTTAACCTGTTCTTCTACTGGAGGTGTTATCTACAAGGTACCAGCCATTGGTTGAGATAATTACATGTTGTTTCTGTAACAAGAACTGATTTTTTTTTTCATTCTTCAACTATGATTTGTGAATAAGCAATTTGATGGACTTGCATAACTTGCAAAAGCAAAAAAGATTTAGAAATCACATGGGGTGGGAGGTGATTTTATTACGATATTATGATATTAATTTATTTGATTCTTTTTATTAGTTTTATTGTTTTAATGTTTTATATTCTGTAAGCCGCTTTGAGTCACCATGGGTGAATAGGTGGCAGTATAAATTTAATAAATAAATAAATGTCTAAGCCAAAACCAAGTAGCCACATTGAAATGTAGCATTATATGTTAATCTGACTACATACAGTACCTCTGGGTGGTATTTATCAAAGAAGATCAGAAGGGTTCTTGTAGCCATCTGGATAGATATTGGAAACAGTTAACTACATCAGATAGGTCTTTCCTGTGGTCATATATCGTGTTAAAATTAAAGGGTTTGGGAAACTCATGAGTGGAGACAGAGTAAATGCAGCATATTTTGAGAAGTAGAGTGATGAAATTTTGGTCTATTTTATAATCCTGTGTTGACATTAGTATATATTGTACTTCAGTAATCATTCTGGCATTATTTGTCTTAGCTCTGCTGTATGGCTTAAAGTCCAGGATAATAATCTAATTTTTTAAAAGGACCAAGTTTTCCTAGAATTTTAGATTCCAGATTGGTAAGTGATTTCTGCCCTAAAACCTTGCTAATCTTTGATTTATCTTTTCTCTATTTCAGCTGAATAGCAGTGACAAAGTACTAGAGAGCTGTCTTTCCCTTGGAGGACATAGGGCTCCGGTGGTCACTGTGGACTGGTGCACAGCCATGGACTGTGGGACCTGCCTCACTGCATCCATGGATGGGAAGATCAAACTAACTACTCTGCTTGCACAGAAGTCTTAAGTGAAACTGTGCTCCAAGATGTGAACATTTTTTTAACAGAAGAATGAATGATCAGTATTAACCATTAGCTTCAAACTTTTATAGGGAGGGAAGGTTTAATTATTTGTCTTAATGTCATCATCTCTTTTTAAGTTAGGAGTTAAATTTAATTGCCAAACTACTGCCACTTAGAAGAGTACGTTCTAACAGTTCATTTCAACAAATATTAAACATTCCCGCATTATCAAGTTCCTTTCAATAAGGAGCATCCCATTGTTCCTCTTGGTCTTCATTAGCACATAGCCATAATTCTCTGGGTTAGTCCCAAGATGGAGTATGAATTCGTTGTGGTTCTAGCAAGTGGGAGATGGAATGGGAAGTCTTGTTCAAAACTCTAACAGTATTGACTGCATTTTTACTCGAAGAAAACTTGATTGCATTTACATTATGCTGCTTTGTTTGAAGAACATTCCATGCTAATGCTCCTAGAAGAAAAAAAGTTATATATAATTCGTATTGTTTATTTTCCTTTAGAGTTTTGGACATCTGATACAGATTACAAAAAGCATATGATAGTAAAATGTTATGAAATGGCATCTGTTTATTACTACCAATTTTTAATCAGTTCATCCTAATTAAGTTCTGTTACACAAGCAAGCAGTTTTATAGAACTCTCAGCTTTCTTTCTTTTATATTTCTAGCAATTTGCATTTTTGGAGAGGATAAAAATACACTGCACCAGTAATGGCTAACCTTTTCGGCACTAAGTGCCCAAAGCGCATGTGCGCACATCGCCAAAATGCAATGCACATCTCCATGCATGCATGTGCATACTCCATGCATGTGCCCCGCCCCTGCATGCGCCCTGGTCCCTACGCATGTGCGGCAGAGACCCGAAGACGAGCTGGCCGGCGGGAGATGCGCACGCATGCGGGGCGGAGCTAAACTGGGGTGATGGCTTGCGTGCCCAGAGGGCTCTGCGTGCCACCTCTGGCATGTGTGCCATAGGTTCGCTATCTTGGCACTACACAGTGAAACACACAGGCACCAGCGTATGGTACCTTGGAACTGCTTTTATGTCAATCCATATTTTTTTAGATGTACTTGTATCGTGAATAGTATTCTTGGTCATCAGCCTGAGTTCACCAAACACAGTTACTCTCAGAAATACATCTAAGGAGGCACAGTTGTGGCCTTCAGCTGTAACAGAATTGAACACAACAGAATTCCAAGCAGAAGGTGAACAATAGTGTCTGTAATAAAACAAATGTGCTTTGGCAAGTACTGAAGGTAGTTGAAAGAAATGGAGAAAAGTTCTGACCTACAGCCTATATTAATTTAGAATTATTCTATTTTTGTTAGGGGGGAAATAGATGAAATGGCACTATTGTTACCATAGCATGCTTGTGGAAGTGCAACACAGACTGGTTTAAAAATTGCGGAGGGGAGCCCAGAATGATCCCCTTAAGGCTGAATGTTGTCATTATTGGTAAGGCCTTTTTCACTGGAAGAAAAGTGTTGAGCTGATAGAATTTCAAATGGCAGCACCCCACACTGCAACAGTTGGATATGCAATTTCCATACTTAAGCATATGTGAAGTTCAAATGTGGCTGCATTCCTACGACAAGTTTTATGGTTAACAATTAGGGTTTATTAACGGCCTGACATTGCACACCAAATCATGAACTAACCACATTCATTTCATTAAAACAAAACCCTAGTGTAAAATACAGGTAATCCTCAACTTATGACTACAATTGACATTTCTGTTAAGTGAGAAATGTATTAAGTGAGTTTTGTCCCATTTTACAACCTTTCTTGCTACAATTGTTAAGTGAATCACTGCAGTTGATAAGTTTGTAACCTGGTTGTTAACTGAATCTGGCTTTCTCATTGACATTGCTTGTCAGAAGGGGATCGCATGACTTTGGGACATAGCAACGGTCTTAAGTATGAACCAGTTGCCAAGCATCACATGATCACATGATCGTGGGGATGCTGCAAAGATCGTAAATGTGAAAAACATACGTCACCTTTTCCATTGCCGTTGTAACTTTGAACATGACTAAATGAACTGTAAGTCGAGGACTACCTGTGCAGCTATTGTATAGTTATTGTATAGTCTTGTGTAAACTGCTTATGAAGTTAAGGGGGAGAATAAATGCATGTCAGATTTCTTAAAAGAGGAAAAAATCCAAGTATATTTAAAAAAAATTGCACCTAAAAACCCTTTAAAGCATTTAATTGTGATAAATGTGATAACTGAAGATATGTGGACATGTCCGAGATCAACGTACAAAAACGATACAAAAGGAACTGTGGCAATTATTCAAGGGACGGAGGGGGGTTACTATACATTTGGATCAGTGATTTTTTTTTCCAAACTGTACCTTTAAGGTGTGGACTTGAGGGAGTTCTGGGAGTTGAAGTCCCCACATCTTGAAAGGTGCCGAGTTTGAAAAAAACTGGTTTCGATCATTCCCCCCCCCCCCCTTCTCGTGAAGAACTCTAGTCAGTGCCGGGGTCTCCAACCTTGGCAACTTTTAAGACTTGTGGACTTCAACTCCCAGAATTCCTCAGCCAGCAAAGCCACACGCGTCTCATTCTGCTTCCGGGTGTCCTTGAAATTCAAGTCTCCGAAGCGACTGGTGTGCGACTCACGTGACGGAGTAAATCCTCGTTTCCGGCGCCGATTTTCGAACCGGAGCTGCTTGTCTCCCCCTCCGCTGCCACCGTTGAGTTGGTTGTTTGTGCCGTTGCTTTCTGTTTGGAGGTGTGATGGGTGAGGGTTGTTTCCCCCCCCCCTTCTTCTATGAGCACTTTTCGAGGAAAGCCTTTCCAAGGTGGACATCCGGCAAGCGACGCGAAGCATCTTGATTCGCAGGGCGACTAAACGCCCGGTGGTGTCTTTCTTTTAAAAACGGATTTATTGATTTTACGGATCCTAGCTTGAGATACTTGAAAGAGTAACTGCATAGCTTTTTGCACGAGGAACTAAGAAAAATTGGATTCAGTTTTGTTTTTTTTCTACTGGTTTAGGAATAAGCGTCATGGAATATAGTGAATCTTATTATATAGACTGAATTTAGTACACAACAGTATTCGTGTCTTTTTTGCATTTGCACTAGTGAGAATTTTGTGGCGGGTGCTTCCTATCATTCTTGTGCCTGGTCATTTTGGCTCCAAGTACATAATGTAAATATGTAACATTGCCTGTTATGATTAGTGATGTCGATAAATCTCTGAAATATTTGATGCCTGAAAAATCTAATGTTGGTTTTCATCAGAACTCCCATTTTTTTTGTTTTCTTTCTATTTAGACTTGCAGCATAATCCTATGGGAGATAATGGAAAGGCCCTTATTATTGGACAGGTTCCAACACTGGGTGGATTTGGCCCAATTTAGGAATTGTATGTCCCACAAGTGTCTATAAATCCCCAAATCCAGATTATTACAGGTAAGGAATTATAGGGTAAAGATTGCCTACTTCTAATGCAAGAAACTCAGGAGCTTGCTGTGTAGAAGCAAGGAAGCAGAAAACCTTTTGAAGATCTTTTGGTCCAAGGTTGAACATTTGGGATGCGGGGAGGGGCTGAATGGGAAAAAATGGAAGCAACACAAAAACCTTCAGTAGTTGTTCTTTATTTAGAATATTTTAAACTGTTGAGCTCCATCTTATTTTTCTACATATGTGCTTGTATCTGCAAGTTATTGAAATGGGAACACAAATGGAGTGGGTGATACTTAACATTCCTTCCCACAAACTCTGGTAACTCTGAGTGTAATTGCATAGTTTTCTTTATTTTTTAATATATTTATAAAATAAAGTGTTAGCTGGCCACTTATGGCAATGAGCCAGTGTTTTTTGATTGACACACCAAAAGTAGTTTCAATTGCTCTATTTGCTGCTAGTTCAGTTATTGCCTATGGTTACCACCAAATGGCTTGAGATGTGTAAACATTAGAGAGGAATAGTAGGCTACATGGAACCATTAATTCAATTGCCAAAGTTTAATTTCAAGTTTTTCAGTTGCACAAATTTTTCTCCTTTTTGAATTAACAGAAATGAGTCCCCCTGAGGCAGCAAAGAAGAGGATTCTCCCAGCATGGATGAGCAAGAAGGCAGCTGAACCAGAAGAATGGGCAAAAATGAGGTCAAAGAGAAGAAAAAAGACAGCTTTAGCAAGGTATGCTGCCTACCTGTCTCTTAAAAATCAGAGAAGAATGGGTTGTTCCAAACTTCCCTTTCTACCCCAAAGGCCAAATTAGGAGGAGGGTTGGGGTGTGTGTGATGTGTGTGTAGAACTATTGATGGACTAGGGCAGGGGTCGCCAACTTTTTGGACCTCAGGGACCACCAAACTCATAATTTTAGATCCCAGGGACCACTAACTGGTTCTGTGGGTGTGGCCTAATTTGTGGGCAAGGCTTGGTGATCATGTGCCTGACTGGGCATAACTTGTATGTAAATATTATAAATATTTATATAAATATTGATTTTTTTATTTAAAAAAGAGCAACTTTTACCCAAAATCAGGCAAAGCAGGCAGGCAGATTGAGTTGCTCACAGAATGACAGATTCATTTAGAAATCTTATCTATCTGCCATTGGCTAGCTCAGTCTGTCACATAAAATTTGCTAGCAAGCAAACTCACAAAATTAACTCACAACACACCATGTATGTAAATATTGAATTTTTTATTAAAAAAGCAACTTTTATCCAAAATCAGGCAAAGTGGGCAGATTGAGTTGCTCACAGAATCATTCAGTGATCTATCTATCTTCCATCGGCTAGCTCAGTCTCTCAAATTTGCTTGCCGTGAATCTGCACTGAATTTGCTTGCAAGCAAACCTTCAATCCTAAGGGAGGTTCGGCTGTGCTTAGCTAGAAAGCAAGAAATGCAACCATTTCCTGCTTCCTAGCTAATCTAAATCTCCTGGCACAGCAGAACAGATGATGGTCGGAAAAAGGAAAAATAGCAATTTAGCAGACAAGTTTGCGGGGTAAGGAGTGAGTGGGCGGAGAGGGTTCCCGTGGGCCATGTGGGCTGAGCAGCCTTGTGTTTCTGCGTAACCTGGATTAATTGCTTGGGGGGGGGGGTGCTCTGGGGGTGAGATTTCTCTGCGGACCACCAAAATTTTCTCAACTGGCCCACCAGTTGGCAACTGCTGGACTAGGAGACATCCCAATCAGTGTAGACTCTTAGTGGTTACATAAATAGATTCTCTCCAGATTGTAGAACTATTATATTCTTTGATTTCAGCTTTACCTTTCCGTTTTTATACCCTTAAATAGTCACACATGTGTCTATGCATACTCACACACATCCAATATAGTCTATGGAACCAATTTGTGATTAATTAAAATGATCTTTTCTATGGTTTTACTGTTTACAGAATACGTCATCCCAAAGAGCTAAACTCATATTTTGAAAGTTTGGCTGTGAGAAACTATATTTTAGATTCAGTTGAGGTTAAATTAGGATTAAATGTTAAAAAGCTTTCCCTCTGCAATTTGAAGAATAAGAAATGTTTTAAAACAACAGCCACAATTTTGTTATACAGTACAGAAATTGTGGGAGACAGGTTCCACAAAAATAAAGGCAGATCACAGTAAAGAGCTGTTTGAGATATAGGAAAGAGCTTTAAAATATTTGAGATGGTTGCCCTTGTGGACAAGGGGCCATTGAAATTATAGCTCATGTCCTGCTTATACTGTATCTTCTATAAGGACTCACTGATTCATTTTGTAACATCTCACTTTATAAAATACCTGGGAAGTACTGATCTCTCTTATCTACAACTGCTGTTATCAGTTAAGTATGAAGTAGTTTTTTTGAATGTTGCCAACTTTTATTATACTGTATGCAAAATTAGCCAGACTCTAACTAACGTGGCAATGTACCACTAATTGTAATATATTATTTTGTCTGTTTTTATTTTGTCACTCTTTTAATACTTTTATTTGTAGTGCTAATAAAAAAAAATTGATATATGAGTTGTCTTTGCTATTTTTCCTGACACCGGGGCTAAATATATATATATATATTTTATACTGAAATAGATATACTGAATAAGGCTAAAAAGAGAATTTGACAAGGCTTAATGTGCATTTTCTGATACCTGCTGATTGTCTATAAATTGATATTTACTGAAGGGAGGGTTGGTCTTCCTTCTTACTGTACAATATGATTTTCTTTTGTAGGACTGAGACCATGTATTGTATGAATGAAGCAGAATTGGTCGACATGGCTCTTTGTATTTTAGCTGAGGTGAGCAATGCAAAGATGTTGTTTAGGTGGCAGCTTCTTTTTTCCATACAATTGCCTGCAGTTATGGAGGCTGCAGCTTTTCAGTTAATTTTAGCCAGAATATCTTGCTCCTCAGAAATGGAAAAAAAGAATTGGGCTTGAATACATCCAATTGTACTGGGTGATCATACTCACTGATAAGCACATTTCTTCTCAGAGAGTTAGTTATATGTTTATCAACCAGGCATGATTGTAGATATTCTACCAGGCATCGTGCATCTCACTTATTCTGATCTAGATAGCAGAGAAACGTGGTGTCTCGATCCCAAAATGAAAGAAAATACGATTGCTTCCTTTTTAGAATTGCAAGGCTATAGAAGGTGATGTGATTTCTCAAGAGCATCAACAGGAATTGAGAGAGGGCCACCACCCAAGGACTGCTGTCAACATTGCCAAGGATCCTCCAGTACCATCCACACCTCCAGCTGCTTTAAGTAGCAATGAGGAAACCAAACTGGAGGAAGATGATGATGCCTTAAAATATGTCAGGGAGATTTTCTTTACATAATTTTAACATTTATAAGCAACATAGCTTTTTAAAATTAGAATTAGAATTCTTTTTATTGGCCAAGTGTGATTGGACAAACAAGGAATTTGTCATGGTGCAAATGCTTTCAGTGTACATAAAAGAAAAGATACATTTGTCAATCCTGACAGTCCCTTTTGCTGTCGTTAAGTGAGGTCCTCACAACTTAGTTTTCAACAAAGTCACTGGGAAGTCCCAGGTAACTTGCAAACAGGCCAACAGGCTGCTGTGATGTGAGTATGGCAGGGTCAAGGTGACTTCTGTTGGATGGCACAAGGCGCACAGGGGGCCTGGGTGCCAAGGACAGGGTGTTGTGAGCACATGCTACAAAGTATGAGATTTCTGGCAGAAAAAGGCTTCAGGAATGCAAATGACTTGTAGGAGTGTTTTACAGCTTTCCTTGCTTTTACCACTTTCCCTGCTGGCTTCCTCATTGGCTGCTTGTGGGAAGCTGGCAGGGGTGGTTGCAAATGGTGATCATGTGACCCTGGGGTGCTTACAACCATTGTAAGTGCAAGGTGGCTGCCAAGCACCGGAAATGTGATCATATGATTATGGAGGCATTGTGGCAGCCAGAACTCTGAAGACCAGTTTTAAGTGCCCCTCTTTTTAGCACCATCGCAACTTTGAATACTAGCTGATCAGTAAATAAAAGTTCCCTATATTTTAATTTATGATTAAACTCTTACAATGCAAGAATAATATGGTAATAGGGAAAAAAGCTGCTAAAGTACTCAAGTACCCCAGAGACATGCATTTTTGGATGAGGTTCTATTATTTGTCTTCATTAAGTAGGTATCTCTTCTCCACTAATGTTCAGACCATTTGACAATTAGCTGGGTTATGACTAAGAACCAAGAAATTATCTCAGTGCATTTATTACTCATATGGTAGCTTTAAACCACAGATCTGGGACATTTGTATTAATGTCTGTCAGACGGGGAAAGATATAAAAATGCTATATAGAAATTTTTTTCCTTGACATGCTGCCATGGTGGCACAGTGGTAAGAATGCAGTACTTCAGGCTACTTCTGCTGAGTGCTGGCTGCCTTCAATTTGGCATTTTGAATCTCACCAGGCTCAAGATTGACCCAGCCTTCCTTCCAAGGTTGGTAAAATGAGGACTCAGAGGAATATGCTGATTCTGTAAACTGCTTAGAGAGGGCTGTGAAGTGGTATATAAGTCTAAATGGAGCCCATTAAATGGCTCGTGTGATCTGCTGTTACCAGGGCAGGGGGTGGGAGTTGGAGAACGATCTTGTTATATTGTACTACATTAATTTATTTGATTCTTTTTGTTAGTTTTTATTGTTTGTAAATATGGTTTTATATTCTGTAAACCGCCTTGAGTCACCATGGGTAAATAGGCAGCAATATACACTGCTCAAAAAATAAAGGGAACACTTAAACAACACAATGTAACTCCAAGTCAATCAAACTTCTGTGAAATCAAACTGTCCACTTGGGTAGCAACACTGATTGACAATCAATTTCACATGCTGTTGTGCAAATGGAATAGACAACAGGTAGAAAGTATAAGCAGTTAGCAAGACATCCCCAATAAAGGAGTGGTTCTGCAGGTGGTGACCACAGACCACTTCTCAGTTCCTGTGCTTTCTGGCTGATGGTTTGGTCACTTTTGAATGCTGGCGGTGCTTTCACTCTAGTGGTAGCATGAGACGGAGTCTACAACCCACACAAGTGTCTCAGGTAGTGCAGCTCATCCAGGATGGCACATTAATGCGAGCTGTGGCAAGAAGGTTTGCTGTGTCTGTCAGCGTAGTGTCCAGAGCATGGAGGCAGTACAAGGAGACAGGCCAGTACATCAGGAGACGAGGAGACCGTAGGAGGGCAACAACCTAGCATCAGGACCGCTACCTCCGCCTTTGTACAAGGAGGGACAGGAGGAGCACTGCCAGAGCCCTGCAAAATGACCTCCAGCGGGCCACAAATGTGCATGTGGCTGCTCAAATGGTCAGAAACAGACTCCATGAGGGTGGTATGAGGGCCCAACGTCCACAGGTGGGGGTTGTGCTTACAGCCCAACACCGTGCAGGATGTTTGGCATTTGCCAGAGAACACCAAGATTGGCAAATTCACCACTGGCGCCCTGTGCTCTTCACAGATGAAAACAGGTTCACACAGAGCACATGTGACAGACATGACAGTCTGGAGACGCCGTGGAAAATGTTCTGCCTGCAACATCCTCCAGCATGACCGGTTTGGCAGTGGGTCAGTAATGGTGTGGGGTGGCATTTCTTTAGGGGGCCGCACAGCCCTCCATGTGCTTGCCAGAGGTAGCCTGACTGCCATTAGGTACCGAGATGAGATCCTCAGACCCCTTGTGAGGCCATATGCTGGTGCGGTTGGCCCTGGGTTCCTCCTAATGCAAGACAATGCTAGACCTCACATGGCTAGAATGTGTCAGCAGTTCCTGCAAGACAAAGGCATTGATGCTATGGACTGGCCCGCCCGTTCCCCAGACCTGAATCCAATTGAGCACATCTGGGACATCATGTCTCACTCCATCTACCAATGCCACGTTGCACCACAGATTGTCCAGGTGTTGGGGGATGCTTTAGTCGAGGTGTGGGAGGAGATCCCTCAGGAGACCATCCACCACCTCATCAGGAGCATGCCCAGGCGTTGTAGGGAGGTCATACAGGCACGTGGAGGCCACACACACTACTGAGCCTCATTTTGACTTGTTTTAAGGACATTACATCAAAGTTGGATCAGCCTGTAGTGTTTTTTTCCACTTTAATTTTGAGTGTAACTCCAAATCCAGACCTCCATGGGTTGCTAAATTTGATTTCCATTGATAATTTTTGTGTGATTTTGTTGTCAGCACATTCAACTATGTAATGAACAAAGTATTTAATAAGAATATTTCATTCATTCAGATCTAGATGTCTTATTTTTATGTTTTATTTTTTTGTGCAGTGTAAAGTGAATAAATGCTATTGATATTTACAAATGCAAGTCTGACACATCCATTAATAATTAAGATTGTTTTATTTACTTTACAAATAACTTTGTTTCCATCAGAAATTTGGTTGACAGAAAGATGGACTTACCATATATTAATATAAACATACAAATAATTCAGTTTTAATTAAAAGCTCATAACGTTGTTCACATACAATTAGAACTCTGGGGAAAGAAAAACTTCCCATTTAAAGGTTAACGGCAATATACTGGTATGTAGATAATCTTACTGTTTTATTTGCACAATAACCAAATAGTAAGAGATATACCTATAATACGTGTGAAGACTGAATAAGCCTTCTGTTATGTTCTAGGATTAAAATAATCCTTTTCAGCAATGGAAATTCTCTTTCTCTTTCTCCCTCTCTCAGTTTACAGGCCATACCATGCTTTCTATTGCAAGGGCTGTGCTCCAAAAATAGAAGTGACTAAAACCTTTTGTGGGAGGATTTTATGGTGCTTCAATACTTTACTCCTTTTTACCTTAATCCTTTCCCCAAACTTAGCACAATTCTTAAATCGAATGTGTTTCCTCTTGAAACAGCTTTAGTTGATCTTCCAGCCTTTGAAATAGGGGAAGCTATGCATTAAGTATAGTGGTAAGAGTGTTACCTCCCTTCCAGTTCACATACATTGGAAAGCATTTCTCTGAATTTATTCAGCCTTGGAAGGTGTCTTTGCACTGGTTCTGCCACTCATATAGTGTGTGTTACATTCAGGTGCTGCCACACATTTGTCAAACAAGTTATCCATATCCAACTAAGATTTATTGAACTCAATTTTCTGGGTTCAAAATTCACTGAACCGTAAATAGAGGATGGTGTTGCATGACAAATTCTTGTAGTCTATTTTGCAGTTCAGTGTGTCAATTGAACAAAAACTCATGGAAGGCTCTAGGCTGCAGTCAAAGGTCTCTTATGAAGAGTGTTTTTGTACTTTGCAAGGTAGAGGCTAATTATGAGCAGATGGAGGAGAAGTAAAATGTAAGCTCCAACTAGGGCTGCAAAACCCTCACTGAGTTCAGAGACTTGAATCCATTTCTGAGTGGAAAAAATAAACAAAATGAGACCAACAGGCAAACTCACATTGGTAACAGACAGAAGAATTTGAGCCAGTTTCCACCCATCTCTGTCTTTGGAGGAAAAGGCCTGCTGCACGATTGTGCTGGCACTGAAGAGACACAAAACGGGGCTGATGTATACACACAGTCTTGATAGCACCAGTGCAACGTTGCTAATTCCCAGCTTCTCTATTTCTTTGATCATGAGGCAATCCAGTTCTGCTTTCTGATTCCACAAACAGAAATTGTAGAAGCCAATTCTTTTGGTGGGAAGATTGACGATATTCCCAGCTTCCCAGACAAGGGCATATAATAGCAAAGCATTATAACCAATGGCAAGGGAGAAATTACTCAGGTACCAGAGGCAGGAACCGTAGGTTGTCTCTCTTAACCCTTTAACGAATTCAACAATGTTTTTTGGGAACTTCAGCTGCATTTTTCACCTGAATACCTAACAGAAGAAAGTAAAACAGGTTGGCTTCTAGGGACTATGTCTCCGCTTTGTCACATACTTCCTAACTGTCTTAGGGACCAGTTTTATACAATGTTATAACAATGTGATTCAAATCATGTTTCTATTATCAACAGTGTTTTTAATAAATTGCAATTTGCCTGGTTCATATAATATCAAGCCATATGTGATGGTTTACAATCTATAGTTAGTAAATATACATCATACACAAGATCATTCACACTCCTGGAAAGGTTTGGTGCAGCCACTGAAACTTCCAAAAGTTTTTACAAATTGTAATTTGTAAATAATAAAAAAAATTCATGCTGTAGAAATGGAAAAAATTGGAATGTTTTTAATTTGCTTGTACATGCTTCCAGCAGAGCTTTCAAAGACCAAGTCTAGCTCCTATACTATGTTAACAAAAGATTCCAAATGTAATGTTGGAGTCTTTTTTTTTCCTTTTCCCAAACTGTTAAGAAATATTATACTGTTGGAGATATTTTTTAAAGGGAAGGAAAGGTTAAAAATAAGTTATAAACTTAGGCATGTTAAGAAGAAACAAATAGTTATTCCCTCTCATATTTCATAATCTGGTGTTAGGAATAACACAAGCTGGTGCTACTCAGATTCTTATTTTGAATTTTAACCGTCATAGTCTATAGTAGTTCTATCCCCCAAACTCTGCCCAAAATGAGTCTTTGCAGCCTCTTGGAGCAGGATGCCTTGCAGGGTCCCAAAGACTCATTTCCGGCAGAGTTTGGGGGATAGAAAGAAAAACTTTTGCTGCTTTCCTTGCGTGCAGCCTGAGATTGAAACTCAAAGCAGGCTAGGAATGGGGGTGAGGGTGTGTGAGGGGGAGAGAGAAAGAAAACCACCAGCCCCCAGGTTAGATCGATCTCCCTCCCCCGTCCCTCTAAGAGCAGAGCTCAAAGCAGGCTAGGAATGCCACCCCAAAACACCCCCCAAAGCAATTATTCCAGGCTGCGGGGGAACACAAGGCTGTGCCCGGGAACACAAGGCTTGCATCAGGAACAACACGAAGTAGTGAGGGGAGGCGGGAAAGGGGGCAGGGGGGAAACTTGCCTGGCCACCTGGTTGCTTCTTTTCTGCTTTTGGTTGCTCGCAAGAAAAGCAGCAAAAGTCTGTCCGTCTACCCCCAAACTGCCAGAAATGAGTCTTTGGGACCCTGGCAAGGCATCCTGCTCCAAGAGGCTGCAAAGACTCATTTCTAGCGGAGTTTGGGGGAGAGAAAGAAAGGCTTCTGCTGCTTTCCCTGCGTGCAGCCTGAGAACTGAACTCAAAGCAGGCTAGGAATGGGGCTGCCTTGGGGGGGGGGGGGTTGTGTGAGGGAGAAAGAAAATCACCACCCTGCTTTAGGGTGATTTGAGGGTGAACTAAGTCTGCATTAAAACTGCAACTGTCATGTGCACAAAAAGAGAAACAAATCTACTATGATGAACAAATCTATGATGAACAGATCCAAAATCGCAGGCAACACGCAATCCAATCCATCCGCGGAGCATTAGGATGCGG